TAAAAATTTCACCATATATACAAACACACATATATATAGAATAGATTATATATACATAGAAAAAAAATTAAATACTATTCCCATCTCTAATAGAATGAAGAAGTTTTATTGTTGCAAAATATATGAAAGAATAATAAGGCATGTCTTTTTTTTTTTTATACCAGGGGCTATGTTATGTATAAAATGAGAAATTTATGTTAAGGATTGTGATCAAAGTCCTATTTTTAAAGTGCTATGGTAATATAGGTAAACCAACGCACCCTGTGCATCACCATCCTCAACTTCTGCTCTACGTTCGGCTTGAATATGGTTGTGCAGATTTGTACGGATGAAACCAACATTCTCATAAGACCCGGACTGATTTACCATATAGTCCATGATTTGGCTAGTCTTCACACTGACATTGCGCATAGCCATTGTTTGAGATTTGTCAGCGCTGTTTAAACTGCGATGTGATCTCAGATACATCACACAGTGTTGTTCCGCCAATTCATGGTTGTGGTCTGTGACAAAGTGAGTCACAACATACTTTCCCTCTTCACCAGCATCCGCATCGTACCGTATGCGAAATTGGGCTTTGCAACCTACTCTTGTTAGTGCCTTGGGAGCTCTACTCTTCTCAGCAACACGGTCCAAGTATTTTGGTAATCTCTGACCTTCCCTTGAACACAACCACAGCCCACTAACGACCTTTCCCTCTTTATTTATGTTAAATCTGGATTTTCGTATACTAAATCCCTTGGCTTTAGCATACGCATTGTAGAAATCTTCTCCATCTTCGACCGAATCAAATTTCTGTTCCAGAATAGCACGTTCAACATCACCAACCATGTCATTGCGATGGGCATCGTCAACCATTTCTTTTTTCACATCAGCTCCGCCATCTTCAACGTTCATGTTGGTTGCTTCTTCATTGCTCGGACCAGCTTCGCAACCATAATCAGGTTCTGCCCGACTTTCATTCATCAAACGAATGTCATCTGCTTCATTTGGAATGTCATAATCATCACCTTCCCTTTTAACTTCCGCTGGGGCCATACTGCACATGACATTACTACAAACAATTACTTGATGACCGAAAATTGTTAACACAAACACAAACATGACATTTTCACATGGTTTACCTGTTTGTGCAAACACAAACACTCGCTTCAAAAAGAGAAAGAGAAAGGTTAGCTGCCAATGGAGGGGTTTCCGTTGGAGCGAAACGTAGAGCGGTTGAAGTTAGGATGGGGGTTTAGTTGAGGGAAAATAGCTGAAGTGAACGGGCCAGAGAGACAGAGAGGGAGACAGAGAGAGGGACACAGCTCCATACCTCATATCTAGTTCGAGAGAAGGGCTTCACTTCAGCAATGGAATCAACACAGCCTTCTAGTTACGTTGTTGTTGGAAATCGCCCGTTATACTGTTCCCTACAGAGCTTCGTCAATGGAACGAACCCAACAGGGGCTTCTCCCTGTTAATGGAAATCAACGGTTACACTGACTCAACCTTACACAGAGAGGAGAACAGAGAGAGATAGAGACGAAATACAGAGAGTGAGTGGGATGCAATCATGCAAATACAAGCATTAACCGGTTGCCCCGGTTTCAACTTTTTCACGATTAAACAATTCAATGGTCTTGATCAATTATTGTAATCTAACGGCTAACAATTGGGTTGCATATGGTGTGCAACCTTAAGGGGGTTGCACACTTAAGCAGAACCCTTGAATTTGAAACATTAACAAAATTTAATAGTAAAATAAATAAGAGTTTTAACAAATATTTTAATTAAAAAACGAAATATGTATACACTTTTTTGTCTTATATATATTTACTTTATTTTATAAGTAAAATAATATAAATTTATAATTAATATTTTATGAATGAGTAAGCCCGGTTAAATTGGATTAAAAATCTTTATCTCAAATTCAGTTTAAATATTAAATGGGTATAAAATCTTTACCGGGCTTATCGATAATAAAAAAAAATAGAAATTTGGCTATAAACTCCTCTTACATTCTTTTTTATTGTTAAAATGACAAAGAAAAAAATTATGCTTTCAAAACCCCCTCATAATTATAAAGTCTTGCATAAAGGACAAAATTTATTATTTAAATATTTTATCAGACTATTATACCCTCAACCACCTTCTCTGCCCACTCCTCTCCATCCCTGATGAGCTCGAAAGTAGGGCCAACCCTTGCAAAAAAGCCTAACGAACTGTGAATCTACATTCAAACATTCTGGCGAGTCCTTTGATATGTGATCTGTTTCGGTGGCGGTGCAATGTTTCACGACTTTGATCTGCGTCACGACCTCTCGTTCCAGAGTTTTCCATTGCATTTTCTTCACATCTTCGATGCTTTTGATCTCAAATTTGATTTGATGGCTTCGTTGAAGACATTGCGTCTCACGATGCTGTTGTGATTTTGTTTATCTTCATCACGATCTCCGGTGAGTATGATGGGAATTCCTTCTCTCTACTTGTTGATTCGTCATCACAATCTGATTCTTCTTTGTCTGATTGTTTCTTTCTCAGAAGAATATTCAAATTTGAGCCGATCAAGATCATCGGAGATTAGACAGATCTGAGATCTGAGATCTGAGATAGATGACGACGCTGATCTGAACTAGATAACAACGTTGACCTAAGATACACGGAGGCACTGAAGAAGATGTCGGAAACAGAGGTCGAAGGAGAAAGCTCAAGCAGGCATATGGAGCTCAAGTGGCCATGAAGCTTAGGCGACCACTTTCCCAAAGAAAGAAAGAGAGAGAGAGAGATTGATTGTTGTTTCCAATTAACTTCTTTTTTTTATTATTATTATTATTTGTTAATAGATCTAAGAGTAAAATTTGAATCTGGTTCATTCATTTAGTACGTATTTTATTTTTTGTAACGATAAAATTTTACTCTAGTTAAAAACATGTTGATTTGCTTAACGATATAAAAATTTTACTTTGAATCGTAGTAAACTTCACTTTGATTCAGAGCAAAATTTTACTTTAAAAATACTATTTTACTCTAAATCAGAATAAAGTTTACTGTAATTCAAAGTAAAATTTTACTCTGAAATACACTGCGATGATGGCTTAATAGGAGAATTAATAGATACGAGGGTAGTATAGTAAAATAAACAAATTTTAAAAGGGTGAATTACGCTAACAGTCCCTATAGTTTGGGATTTGTGTCATTTTTGGTCCATATCTTTTCAATCGTGACACATTTGACCATGAATTTTGAATATTGTTCCAAATAAGGACAATCGATGATATCATTGGATTTTTCAAGGGCAAAAATGTCAATTTGATAAAATATAAACTAATTTAATAAAAATAAATTTTAAATTTTTTTTTTGAGTTTTTAAAAATTATTTCTACAAAATAAAGATAAAATTATGTAAAATTGATAAATATTTTAGACATTTATTTATTTATTTTACTAAATTAATTTTTATTATGTGTTTGGATGATAATCATGTAATGGTGGTTGTTTTTGTTTTCATTAAATTAGTTTTTATTTTTCTAAAAGTCAAACATGACAACAATTTTGATATCATTGTTAAACGGGTAATGGTAGAGATCATGAAAAAAATATTATGAAATGCATCATGAAAATTTTTCATCCATTGATTAGTAGTGTTTTATTGTATGTGTAATCCGAAGGTGGAGAATTTTTCATGATCATCTTCATGACATTTTTTTCATGATCCCTAAAAATCAAAAACTAAAAACGTTTCATATATTAAATATATCGATTACCCATTATTACCCATTGTATGATCATCATTCAAATATATAATAAAAATTAATTTAGTAAAATAAATATTTAAAAGATTTATCAATTTTATATAATTTTATCTTTGGTGAGTAGAAATAATTTTAAAATTTTAAAAATATTTTTTTGATATTTATTTTTGTCAAATTAGTTTATATTTATCAAATTGACAATTTTGCTCTTGAAATTAAGTAATGATATCTTCAATTGTTTTTATTTGGAATAAGATTCAAAATCTAGGATCAAATGTGTCACAATTAAAAAGTTAAGGACCAAAATGACACGAGTCTCAAACTATTGGGACTGTTAATGTAATTCGCATATTTTAAAATATTAGAAGATTTTGAAAGTATCTATATAATTCTTGTCTTTTTAAAAAATAAATTAAACCCTGAAGACCTATCACCAAATCTCCCATAAAAAAATATAAAAATAAAAAATAAAAAATAAAAAATAAAAATTGCTTTTGGTTTTTGTTTTTGGTTATATTTCTATGTAGTTGGTTTGTGTCTCTTGAACTTATTGAAACCAACAAAACCGATGACAGAGGGGCCAGTCACGTGACGTGGCTTTGTAGGATCCGTGTGAGTGTGAGCTAGTGAGAAAGGTAGCTCAACTCAACTGCGGCGGAGCGGAGCTACCAAGAATTCCCCAGTTCCCGCACCAAAAATCACACAAACAAATACACACACCCCCACTCTCAAATCCCATCTCTCTCTCTCTCTTCCAATCAATCATCAATCTATACTGATTTTCTGTGTGTATATAGATAGATAGATAGATAGCAGTAAGATATAAAGATGATGTTGATTAGAACAATTTGTCCGAATCGACGCCCACTGTTGTCGATGATCCTGAACCTGCATTCGTCCTCGTATTCTTCTTGTGCTGAAATTCAAGCAGAGCGAACGATCAGAGATGGTCCCAGACACGATTGGACGCGGGATGAAATCAAATCCATCTACGACTCCCCTCTTCTCGATCTCCTCTTCCATGGGGTCAGCATTCTCTCTCTCTCTGCCTTCTCTTTGTTTGTTTGTGTCATATCTTGTTTGGTTGCCCAGAAAACTAAAAAGAGAAAGAAACGTTACTCTAGAAAAGGAGAAAAATCTCAAATTTGGAACTCGATTCATAAAATTAAAAAAAATTAAAAATTGAAATTTTTGCACCCAGTTTGTTTTGTGATGAAGAAACAATAGTAAACTATGTGGGTTTTCAGTTAATTTTTTTTTTTTGTTTTGGGTTGATTAAGGAACCCAAAATTTAATTGAAATTGCATTCATGTTTATTTGCTTTAGGGTTAAATTACACTTTTCACCCCATCTTTGATTCGAATTTTAGTTTAGTCCCTCGCCTTCTAATTCAAATTGCAACAATTTGAGTCCTCAAATTTCAACCCTTTTTTTAATCAGTCCATTCATCACTCACCGTTAAAAAAATGGAAAGTGCTCATGTGATGCTTTATGGGCATTGAAGGAAAAACAATTACTAGTATTGTTGTTTTGTTATGGTTATTATCATTACTATTATTTACCACCACTTACAGCATCTCCAATCCTTCACATTTTCTTTGAAAAAATTCTCAAAAATCATTTCCTATCCTTTCATCAAATGTTAATCAAATCGAGAGTGTCATTTTTTTCATCAAATTTGAATTTGATAAAAATTTTAGAAAGATGAAGCATCGGAGATGATTCATTTTGCATCAAATTTGATGCAAAGGAAAATTTGGGATAAGAAGGGAATTTTTAATAAGATTTTGATAAAAATTTGGTGAAAGTATTGGAGTAGTTCATATCAAATCAAGCTTTTTAGTCAAATTAGATGAAAAAATTGGTGAAGGTTTGGAGATGCTCTTATACTAGTATTACTACTTCTGCTGATACTGCTACTACTGTTATGTTGAGCTTGTTAATCTTATATTAGATTCATCTTCTTATAGGCTCAAGTTCATAGACATGCTCATAACTTTAGGGAAGTGCAGCAGTGTACTCTTCTATCTATAAAGACAGGTGGATGCAGTGAAGATTGTTCTTATTGCCCTCAATCCTCCAGGTATAACACTGGATTGAAAGCCCAAAAGCTTATGAACAAGGAAGCTGTTCTTGAGGCAGCACAAAAGGTGCAGTTTCTCTACCATTTTTGAGCTGGTTTAAAAAAATTTGGCACTTAAAATATCATAAACATTTAAATAATATTTGTCATTGTTGTCTAATTGGGATACCAGGCAAGATACCAAAATAGGGGTACTGTCTGGGGTGCCAAACCTCATAAGGCTTAACCAGAAAGTAAATGAGGTGGCTGGGTGGTCCCTGAGATTTCCAGCTACTGAAACCACGTGACAAAGACATGATTGATATTAGATTTTTTGTGTTTTGTTTCATGATTGTGAAACAGATCATCTCCCGGACCCATAATTCCTCTTCTGAGCCATTGAAGCTGGAGTTTTGTAGTATTCATTTTTTAGTTGATGCATTCTGATTCTCCTTCAATGCTTTATAAGGGTTAGAGCTATGTTTTAGCATAAAATTTGTTATCAGTATGTTTTTCGATAATGAACTGCTTTGTTTCTCTTTTATTTTATTGACCCTCTGTAGTCTGGACATATTTACTCTTTGAATATTTTTTAAGCAATTTTTTCTAGTTGATCTCATCGAGCTTGCAAAGAATGCACAGATGATGACACATACATGTCAAAAATTTGTTATTGCAGCCAGAGACAAATCGTGCTTTAATAGCCATGTGGACATGGAAAAGAAGTACTATGTCTTGAAAAATGATTCTTGCCATCATTATGCTTTTGCTTACTACTTTAATACTTGCTGAATGTTGCTAGTTTAAATTGGTAAAGTATTTTGAAATATGTGTGAATTGTGTTTTTTCCTTTGAGTAGCATGCAGTATAATTTCCTTTGGTGTCCATTGGCAGGCAAAGGAAGCTGGTAGCACTCGTTTTTGCATGGGTGCTGCATGGAGAGACACAATAGGAAGGAAGACCAACTTCAACCAGATTCTTGAATATGTGAAAGAAATAAGGTAATCAAACCATCAATTTTGCAAATTGATACTTATGTTTCAGAGCCTTTTGGTTAAAGAAGGAGATGAATCTCGAGCACCGTCAAGACATGATTTTATTTGTTTCTGCGCAAACCACTTAAACATGGTTCTGCGGTCTGTTTTTTTATTTTATGTATTAAATAGATGTATTGTCTAAAGTAATGCCACTACCTATAATAAATTTGTGTATGACAGATAAGATAAAGAAATGCAGTAATGGGTAGGTTGTTGTAGCAAAAAAATATGAGGTAGTAAAAGGATTGGGCAAGAATGGGAACATTTTAGAGATTGTTGCCGGAGATGTAAGTGAGGCAAAAGAGGTGAAGAAAGATTGGATTATTACAGCATGAGGTTGTCGACCTTCTTTTCTCTAATCTTTACTCAGGCATCAATCAAACATTATGAGGAACAAGGCAGTATGATGGCTGGAGGCTGACTTGATGATATACATATTATATAATTAAGTTTACAATTTATTCAGTACTTCATTTTCCAATTGCTGGCTTTTGGAAATTTTCATGGATGATATTGTTATAGTGGATGAAACTAAGGGATTAACACTAAATTAGAAATCTAGAGAGAAGCACTAGATTCAAAAGGGTTTCAAATTAGTAGATTTAAAAATGAATACATAATGTCAATAATATTCTACAATTTATAACATGTTATGTTAGAATATTACACAATATGTAATATATTTTAATATTCCAAACGTGTTTATGTACCTGTACCCGACTTATGGATACATGTCCCAATATCCAAATATTTAGGTTTAGAAAGATTTGACATTTGGACACACCCCCACATCCCATACATGTTCCTAAGTCCATGCAACATATAAACCAAACAAAACCAAGCCTTAAGTCCCATCAAATGGAGTCGGCTACATGAATCCTTCTTCTCCACGCGGCCTTATCAAAGGCCATTTCGTTAATTAAATTAAGTAGATCCATATCTCTATTTACAACACTAACCAACGTTAATTTAGGCCTATCCCGTCCCCTAACACTTCCATCTACCGTTACAGTATCACATTTCTTCACTACTACCTTTGTTAGTCTCCGTTGAATATAACCAAACCATTTCAATCGATTCTCTCTTAACTTATCTTCTATCGGTGCTACTCCTACTCAGTCTCGAATACACTCATTCCTAATTCTGTTTTGTCTAGTCTTGCCACACATCCACCTTAGCATTCTCATCTCAGCCACACTCATCTTATCTACATGTTATTTCTTGGTTGCCCAACACTTCGTCTCATACAACATCGCTGGTCTAATAGTCATTCTATAGAACTTACCTTTAAGTCTAGTGGATATTCGTTTATCGCACAGTATCCCAGACGCACTTCTTCACTTACACCATCCCGCCTTAATCCTATGGGCTACATCCGCATCAATCTCCCCCGCTGTTGTGATAATCGACCCTAAATAACGAAAATGTTCACTCTTAAGTAGTTTTTGGTTTTCAATCTTCACTTCTCCTCTACTTTCATTGTTGTTGTTACTAAATTTACACTCTATGTACTCTGTCTTAGTTCTGCTTATCCGGAATCCTTTAGATTCAAGAGCTTTTCTCCAAATTTTCAACTTTGTATTAACTCCTTCTCTAGTCTCATCCACTACTATATCGTCTGCAAAAAGAATACACCATGGCACATCATCCTGAATATTGTTCGTCAACTCATCCATACCTAAACAAAAATATGAGGACTTGAGGTAGATCCTTGGTGTAACCCTACAGTGATAGGAAATTCATTTGTCTCTCCAACAGGCGATCTAATAGTGGTCCCCTTCATACATATCCCTAATCACATCAATGTAATATTTTGTCACCCCTTTCTTCGCTAACACCCATCATATTATATCCCGGAGCACTCTATCATATGCTTTTTCAAGGTCGATAAACACCATATGAATGTCTCTTTTTCTCTATACTTTTTTATTACTCTCCTCAAAAGATAGATCGCTTCCATTGTTGACCTGTCAGGCATAAACCAAAATTGATTCTCTGACATCTCTGTTATATCTCGCAATCAGCCTTCTATCACCCTCTCCCACACTTTCATTATATGACACATTAGCTTGATTCCTCTATAATTGTTGCAATTCTGGACATCTCTTTTATTCTTATAGATTGGCACTAAAATACTCTTCCTTCAGTCACCTGGCATATTCCTAGTCAACAAAATTTTGCTAAACAACCTAGTCAACCAAGTAGCTCCCTTTTTATCCAAACACTTCCAAGCTTCAATAGGGATATCATCTGGTCCTAAAGCCTTATCTGATTTCATCTTCTTAAGTGCAATCTCTACTTCAAAGTTCCTAATCCTGCGATAAAACTTATAGTCTTGGTTTATCGTATTACTGGCTATTTCTTCCCTTATTGCCGTACCTCCATATTCTTCATTTCATAGTTTCTCAAAATAGTTCTTCCATCTTTTCTTAATCTCTTCATCCCTCACCAATATCTTAGAATCTTCACTCTTGATGCACTTAACTTGATTAAAATCTCTTGTTTTCCTTTCCCGTATTTTAGCAAGTTTGTATACCCTCTTCTCTCCCTCTTTACTATCTAGTCTAGTGTATAGGTCATCATAAACTTTCAACTTAACCTCTTTCACTACTTTCTTGACCTCCTTATTAATCAATCTATGGCTCTTAAGATTTTTTCCAGTTCTATCATTTTGCCACTTTTTAAAGCACTCTTTTTTTGCCTTAACTACCGCTTGAACCTCTTCCCTTCACCACCAAGTTTCCCTAGAGCTGGGTCCTATTCCTTTCAACTTTCCAAGCACTTCCCTTGAGATTTTCCTCGTACAATTGGCCATCGAATTCCACATAGTGTTAGCATCATCTTCCAAATCCCAAGTACCTTCCTTATCCATTATATTCTTAAATATTTCTAATTTATCCCCTTTTAGGTCCCACCATCTCGTCCTACGACACCCACCATCCTTCCTAACTTGATATTGCTCTCTAAAACATAAATCTAATACCAAAATCCTATGTTGAGAGGTCAGGCTCTCTACAGGAATCACCTTACAATCATTGCATTTTAAGCATTCCACTTTTCTCACTGAGAAGTAATCTATTTGGGTCTTAATTGACCCACTCTTAAAGGGTATTAAATGCTCCTCCCTCTTCTTATACATAGTATTGGCCACCACTAGGTCAGAAGTCAACGCAAAATCTGAGATACTCTCTCCAGCCTCATTTCTGTCACCAAAATCATATCCACCATGCACCCTTTCATAGCCTAGTTTATCTATGCCTATATGGCCATTAAAAATCTCCACCTATCACCAGGTTCTCTCCTACAGGTATCTTCTATAAGATCTCATCCATTTGCTCCCAAAAATCCCTCTTAGTTTGATCATCTAATCCTACTTAAGGGGTGTATGCACTAATAATGTTCACTATATTCCCTTAAATAACTAGGTTAACTAACATAATCCTATCCGCTTTCCTAATGACCGCCACTACATTCTCCACAAGACCCTCGGCAATTAAGATTCTTACCCCATTCCTACGTCTATCCTTACCACTATAATACAGTTTAAAACCGGTAACCTCAATTTCTCTAGTTTTCTCATCCGTCCACTTAGTTTCTTGTACGCAAGCTATACTAACTCTCCTTCTAATCATAACATCTACCAACTCCATTGTCTTACCAGTTAAGGTTCCTATATGTCAAGTGGCTACCCTAAACCTATAGTCTTGGACTAACTTCTTTATCCGCGCTCGTCTAGAAAAACGCAAGAACCTTTGCCCATTTTTCATCACACCCATTTTTCATCACACCCAGGCGTCGATGTGGCACCCCTTGCTCACTTTTCGAAACACCCGGAGGCAGGCGCAACGTGTCACTCGAGGGGAAAAGCTAAACTAATGCAACATGCAGTAGTAAACAAAGATATGAATTTATTTAATTTAGTTGAGCATATAGCCCTTGATAGAGTAATATGGCAACAAATGATTCATATCACTAACCTCACCTAATTGTGATACAAGGCTTAGTTTGATTTAGTCATCTCTTCTGATTTATTTGCCTTGCTATGTCAAATCTTTCTGCCCTTAACATTTTTCCTTCTTCATACACCAAATATTTCTATCTATCATAAGCTTATCTCATGTGGCAGGGAAATGGGGATGGAGGTCTGCTGTACCTTGGGAATGCTCGAGAAACAGCAAGCTTTGGAATTGAAGAAGGCAGGCCTTACAGCTTATAACCACAATCTTGATACCTCAAGAGAGTATTACCCTAATATTATAACCACAAGATCATATGATGAACGTTTGGAAACCCTTGCATATGTTCGTGAAGCGGGGATCAATGTCTGCTCAGGTAATTTGGTTTAATTCTGAAGAATACAATATTTTCCTGCCTTGGTGATTAGAAGCAATATATTTATAGTTTGATTTATTATCTGTCTGGTACAGTTCATTGTCTTTTTCTCCTTTTCTTAGGTTAGATATTTTACTAACATTAAACAATAAGCGAAGTGGCAGAAAATGAAGTTGGTTGAGGAAACAAGTTTTCATCAGATCTTGTTCATGGAGATTCCACCTTCCGGGTCTTGTGCACCCCCAAAGTGGAAGGTGCAGTGGTCAAGCCCCAAGCAGGACAAGTGTGTGTATTCCTGCAACCTACCAAAAAAAAAAGAAAGTAAAGGGAAAAAAAAAAAAAAAAACAACTTAGGTTGAGTTGAATTTTGTAATAAGACAACAATGTTGAATATGGAGAGAAAATAGAGATAGAAAAGAGAAAAGAAAGAGCACAAAGGTTTAACATGGTTAAGCTAATAGTGGCCTACATCCACACACACAAAGCCCTATGGGCTACATTTTTTATTCACTCAATTTCATACTCTTGTTTACAAGATACACCATATATATAGAGTGAGAGATACAATCAAATTCCTGTAGTTAAGGAATTGAAATAAATCAAAGATACAAAAAATCATAATAAACCCAAATCATGGGATCTCCAATATGGAGAGACAATAGAGATAGAAAAGAGGAAAAAAAAAGAGAACACAAAGGTTTAACATGGTTAAGCTAATATTGACCTACATCCACACACACAAAGCCCTATGAGCTACATCTTTCATTTACTCAATTTCATACTCTTGTTTACAAGATACACCATATATATAGAGTGAGAGATACAATCAAATTCCTTTAGTTAAGGAATTGAAATAAATCAAAGATACAAAAAATCATAATAAACCCATGATTTCCATGTCTTTTGATATTTTCCGTATCTTCTGATATCTTTGACAATATATTCTTATCTCCAACGCCCCCCCTCAAGTTGGAACATGGAACGATTGAAGTGAAGTGTCCAACTTGAACTCGAAAATATGATGATCGTCACAAACAACTACAATTAATTTGTTGAAAACTGATAACAATTGTAATAATTCCCTTCAATGATAATTTCGGAAAACATAGGCAAAGAATTAATATCTTGCAACAGAGAAATGTTCATAGAATCAGTCATGATGACAGTAAAAGAAAGCAACCAAGAGAGAGAAACCAACGAGGCTGAAAGAATGATGTATCACAATGAATGCTAACGAACACACCGGTGGCCCAAAAATAAAAAAGAACTAAATATGTGCTTACCGCGTCATCACAAGGACCCTAAAAGGATAGAGAAGTAGCTGGAAAACTTGGCGTGTCACAAAATAATGTTATCGAAAACACCGGCAGCGCAGAAACAAGTAAAAACTACAGAGTTTGCTTGCCAAATCAGCAAACTAGTGATCAACACAAGAAAAAAGGAAAAACACCTTGATAACAAAAAAATATGAAGTGAGAAAGAACTCTAGAGGAAAACATGCTTAGGGTTTGATAGGCTCTGATACCAAATTAAATTTTGTAATAAGGCAATAAGATTGAATATGGAGACATAATAGAGACAAAAAAGAGAAAAGAAAGAACACGAAGGTAAAGTGGTTCAGCCAATATTGGCCTACATCCACACACACAAATCCCTATAGGCTACATCTTTCATTCATTCAACTTCATACTCTTGTTTACAAGATACACCATATTTATAAAGTGGGAGATACAATCAAATCTCTTTAGTTAAGGAATTGAAATAAATCAAAGATACAAAAAATCATAATAACTCCAAATCATGGGATCCTATATATTATGATATTTTCCGTAGCTTCTGATATTTTGACAATATAATCTTGTCTCCAACAGGTTGTAGATGTGCTAAACTTATTTTCTATACATTTCTATTTTTGCGGTGAAATGCTTGTAATTAGTTTAGTAGTTAAAACAAGCTTTTAATTGCTAAGTAAATGCTAAAAGCAATAAATCTATGTTGTGAAGCTGGGTCACCTTTCCTTTTTTTGTAACAGTGGGTTCTTTTTTGACTGTCCTTGTCGTCTTGTTTTATTTTGTATGCTCCTTTATTTATTTATTTATTTATATTGTTAGCTGGCTTAGAAATCAAAAACACCTAGGTGGTTAAACATCAATAGAAAGGTAGAAAAATTAATCAGAAAAAGAGAATAAAACGACCGACCATAGGGACTTGACCATTGGTTAGCCTTTAGTTTATGTATTAATGAATTCTTATGATTTACAGCTAATTTTTCTAGATGAAAAGAATTTTTTTTTCCTGATTGGGTTACATGTTTATCTAACCCACCCACCATCTTTGGTTAATAGGAGGAATAATAGGGCTAGGAGAAGCAGAGGAGGACCGAGTTGGTTTGTTGCATACACTTGCAACACTCCCTGCACATCCAGAGAGTGTTCCCATCAATGCACTGGTTTCAGTTAAAGGCACACCTCTCGAAGATCAGAAGGTAATTCTAATAATCTTTGACTGACAATTATGTAAGTAGCAATTGTGAACTTTCATTATGCTTTCAGTTATTCTTCATTCTTGATTGGATTTCTTTGCCTGTAACATGTGAGTAAGTTTTGAGGGATTAAAATTTATCATAAACTGCCTTCAGTTTTTCTATGACAAGCAATTTTTGGCTTAAAATGTTGAAACCAATAACACTGAGGCATGGATTTTTTATTATTATTATTTTTTGGTTTTGGGTGGGGGGTGGGGAGATAAGAATTTAATTAGAGAAGGTGCCAGGGGGCACCACAATTGCTGAACTCTTCTTGATTCCTCTATTCCTCCACCCTGCCACACTAAATCCACTCTCCTTCCAGCCTTCATGATTAATTAGTGCACTTTAACCTCTTTAGCTCCCTCTCCTTCCTAGCTGATGAAGACACCCCTCGTTTTTACTCTAGCTCTACAAGTCTCCATCTATTTCCATTGGTGCTAAAAAGTTAAATCCGTTTCTCTTCTCTTCTCTCTCTCTATTTTATTTTATTTTATTTTATTTTTTGGTGGGTGACTGATGTCTGTTGCCACCACAACATTAGCCTCAAAAATAGATTTTATATTGGCTTGAATTTGAGACATGTTTTGTTTATGATGTATGCTTTGTCCAGCCAGTTGAGATATGGGAGATGATTAGGATGATTGGCACAGCCCGTATCGTTATGCCGAAAGCAATGGTCAGGTTGTCAGCCGGAAGAGTTCGGTTCTCCATGCCGGAGCAGACACTCTGCTTTTTGGCTGGTGCAAATTCCATCTTCACCGGCGAGAAGTTGCTGACAACTCCCAACAATGATTTTGATGCTGATCAACAAATGTTCAAGGTGCTTGGACTGCTCCCAAAAGCTCCCAGTTTTTCTGATGATGATTTCGAAGCAGAAAATTGTGCAAAAGCCGTGTCTAGTTCTGGTTGAGATAGATAGATACAGCTTTATCACAGGGACGTACTTGGTCACCTCTCTGCAATGAAAAAGCTTCTTTCTACCTCCTCGCAAATGTGGATATTCATTTGGTCCAATAATGTCACAATTTCACTGGAAGATTATTTGATCAAACCATTTCTCGTGGATATTGTTAGTAGGGACTACTAGGATAGAAAATTGTTTGGGTTGGTGTACCCAAAATTGCCCAATTAATTAAGGGTAATGCTAGGGACACCAAATTTTCTACCAAACAAATGACCAAATGTCTCACATGGGTGTGGGGTCCGCAATTTTGTGGGCCCCACACCCATGTGAGACATTTGGTCATTTATTTGGTAGAAAATTTGGGACCTCTAGTATTTTCCATTAATTAATGGGTTTTGATGGGTCAGTTTAATTCAGGTTTGTTTACAGATATGGACCTAAATTATCCATTTAGGGTTAGGTTAAATCAGGTTGGTTTGGAAGCATGGATCGGAATGACCCATTTACCCTGCACCTTTGTTCTGCTCCCTCCCTCTATTTGTTTCCTCCTTTTTTTCTTTTTTTGAGATAAAAGTCTCAACTGTTGATTAATAATCATTATCATAAGGATAGCTGTCCGCCAAACCCTTTAACCACTTTTCTACAAAATTTTGTACGACAAACTCCAAAATCTGAATGCGGTAGTGATCTTCCACTATTTTTGATGATTCTCACTGTAAGATAAATTGATAGAGAGAGAGAATAAATTATGTATATATTAATGTATTGAATGTTGTATTACAAAGATTCAATTGAGCTCGTTTATATAGGAGAGGAGCCAAAAGTGGGAGCCTAAAGTAGCCGAAAGTGGCACTAATAAAGTAAAGTAAAGGTAAAGGAAATATACACTACTAACAGCTATACACTACTAACATCATTACAAGCACTAATATAATATACTAACAGCCCCTCTCAAACTCAAGGAGGATAGGTACTAGTCAACTTGAGTTTGGAGAGAGTAGCAAAACAGGAAAATAGACTGACAAATAAAAGTGGATAGGAGACACTGTATGGTCGTGTCAGATCGTTGGTGAAGACACTGTATGGTCGTGAGCTCTGATACCATGTAAGATAAATTGATAGAGAGAGAGAATAAATTATGTATATATTAATGTATTGAATGTTGTATTACAAAGGTTCAATTGAGCTCGTTTATATAGGAGAGGAGCCAAAAGTGGGAGCCTAAAGTAGCCGAAAGTGGCACTAGCAAAGTAAAGTAAAGGTAAAGAAAATATACACTACTAACAGCTATACACTACTAATATCATTACAAGCACTAATATAATATATTAACACTCACTTCTTCTGCCAAATGTAACAACCAAACAAGTTCTCTGGTATTTTTTTCATGGCTTCATTTTTAAATACATCCCTTTCATTACAATGGTGGACAAGATCTATGATATGCATCTCTGGTACACACCACCCATCCAAAGTTCTCTAATTACAGTGTCACATTCACCTTTCTTCGGTGATAAGCTCTAGCGAACAAATTTGATGTCTTCTTTTAATCAAGAGAAAAAAAAATCTTCATTCCGTTCATTCCCCCCCCCCCCCCCCCCCCAAAAAAAAAAAGAGAAAGAAAATTCTTTATATTTCCATGGCAACGTGGCGGATTGCCCAGGACAGCGTATAGGCAAATCTAGATCAAACAGATACAAAGTGAGTTGATGCTTATAACCGCAATAAATTTCTCGATTCTTGGAAGCATTACACAAATTAAGCATTGTAAGAATATATCAACATAATGGATTTCAATACACCCACACTATGAATCTTTGGTAACTTTGGATTCAAATTATTCTACTGCAATTATTTCATAAAGATATCACAGTTGTTTTCCAAGATATATATATTCTATATTTACTTCCTTAATTAAAAATGTAGTTTATTGAAAATCTGTCAAGAAACCCGCAGTATATTTCCCTCACAAAGAAGCCCAAGCAGAAAATCCATGTAACAATTAACTACAAATCTACTCAGAAGTTACTGGCTCCTAGAATTGGCTCGATTAAGGGAATATGAAATCTATCTTTTGTTCTTTTGCTTTAAAATCTTAGCCAGAAGTTACTGAAAAAATGCCCTTAAAAACGAAAAATTGGATCAGAAGAACATATTTATCAAATTTATCTCCAGAGCTCCTTAGTAAACATGAGCAAATATACAAGGTGGAATGCTAAAATAATCGTTCAAAACAAAAATGCTAAAAATAAGAAATAGATGATCCACCTAATCAAATGGAGGTACAAATACCATTCTTGACATTAACCAATCCACCATTCTCCACAGCATGACATTCATGAATCTAATTTTCCCTAAAAAATATTTCTTTTCTTTGAAAGTATTCATTCATATATACCAATTATTCCTTTTCTTATCTCTGTGGTTTTGTTCTTTTCCCCTTTGGAAATGTAAAACCAATATGTTGATGTGAAATCTTCAAGTTTTTGTGCTTAAGAAGTAATCTCCAACCGTCAAGAACAAATGTTCTCCCAGAACGACGTCAACTGCAGGCTGATTTTCAATGCAATCAACCTTAATCTGTAAGAAAGAACAACCAGAAAGCATGAAATCAGTACTTTGAGCAACAGTGACTAATCGGTTGTTAAAGGTTCTGGGCAATAACAAACCTTTCTGTTTCCAAGTTGAAATTCTGACTTCAAATTATGATGATCCCTTGACAGCAAATAAGTCTGTAAGCCATTCGCAAATTTTGTTTTTCCTGCAACAAAATGAAACTACTGAATAGAAAGAAAGCAGGAGAGAGAAATACAAGGCTGCTTCAACCGATGCAAACTTAATAGATACAAAGAGAGAGCTCAACCTTCACATAGTGCAAGAACAGCATCCGAGTTGAATACTAACGACTGTCTCGCCAAAGTGATAGTAAATGACAAATCAGAAATGCCATGGAATGTCTCCTCATCAAGAATCACCTGCAATTATTACCAGTGTAATTATGAAGAAATTTCTTTAGGAACATCTACAGACCATAATCATAGAAGTAGAACCAGAAACCAGGGCAACATAATGAAACATAAAAAAGCCTTCAGAAATTGCCACGTACAATTACTAACACACAAGTCAAAGTAAACTTGGTCCTTGAGTCACAAGTAGCTATCAGAGTGAAATCAAGAAAAGCACGAAGAATCATTAATAGGAAGAATGGTGCAATGGAAAACACTAAAGTAAACTAGAGCCTATGCTCATCAAGTAACAGCACATTCAAATATTTGAAAATATTAATTGAATAAATAATCCAGAATCCAACAATGATGACTTCATACACAACTGTTCTAAGATGTTTAGTTCATTCTTTTAAGTCTTTTACAGATCCACAAATTAATTCATTGATAAAAGCACTTAAAGAAGAAAAACAACCACATGCATAATTAAGAAGTATTAATGCAACTTACTGCGTGAGGTGGAAGGATGGTTGAAGGAAGCAAACAGGAACCGACTGAATCCCTGATATATGATTCCTGCACATGAAGAATAGAAAGTAAACATGCACGCTTCTAGTCATCAAGCTTTGGTTGGTTAGACATGCCCAATCGTCTGAAACTGGTTAACAGTCTATCATAGAAATAGATGATCATTTTTAGGAGTGATTATTCCCACAACCAAAATGGCTGCATCCACAGGTGCTCACATGCGGGTCCCATCTATGTGAATAAGGGGACTTTATCCATCCTATTTAGCTGTGGAGAAAGCCATCCTCATTTTCTTATCGATTGTCTCATAATATGTAATGTACCAATTCTCTGGATGCATAACATACCATTTAAGGTCATCAACAATCCTATATTAATTATTCAGCCCAACTCTACATGGTGCACAATCCACAGGCATGGGAAAATCATAAGACCGTTCGATACAGCTCTCAAGATCCAAATCTTCAAGAACCCCAAGATCTAGCAACACCCTTTTTAAAAGCCACACCCGCTGTTCACCCTTTGCAGCAACTTTGTAAAAATATCCAATCAAAATTCTGAATGCCATGTGGATGAGAACTTATTCCACAAAGGCTAGCAAACCAATCAGACAAGCAATTTAAGATTCTTCGAAATCTAGTGAAATTGGACTCCCTAAAACACTAATTCAATAAAACAAATTATGAAATAACAAAAGAAGTGTCTATGCTAGCCAGAAATAGAACACTTTCTCAATATTACCAGGTAGTTCTAACCTTGCAATTGAAGTTGCAAAAAAATTGATACACAAAAAATTTAGAATACATCTAACCTCACAAAAAATTGTTACCTGTGAATTTAAAATCTGTTGTGAGATTGACGGATCTTTATCCAATGACCTGAAATAAACCTCTACCAAGTCAGTCGGTTCAAGGCCAGCTTTCTTCCGTAATTTCTGGATCCTATTAACAACCTACAATAATTGAAGTTTACAGCATGGTCACAAGCCCTTCATAAATCTTCCAAATTACAATTTTATGCAACAATCCTTTACATCAGTATATATACACACACAAAGGAAATAAACAAACAACTTATATTTTACCTCACGGGCAACCCCTGCCTCCAACAATGACTCATCAGGACGCAAATCCAATATCACCAGAACATCACCTAAAACATGTGATTGGAAAAGACTGTAAGGCAAATGTACTAACCATTTACTGTGTAATTAACAACATAATATTACTACTGATCCTTACCATCTCCAGCAGCATCAACTTCTTGCTCAGTCATATTATCAGGGAGCTTGAAACCTCGGACGATCTAAGAGTAAAAAGAATGTCAAAGATAAATCATATACGTTTAATGGACATTTTCTGGAGATCATATCCACAGTATGTTGGTTGATATTTTCAGAATAATAAAAATGTCTAAAAGGTAAAATTTGTATTGCAAATTTGAAAAGCCATGATTAGTTACAGTCAGAATAAATCAATGTGACTTCCACGCCACTAATAAGCAATACAGTTAAACATCATATATATATATAGATAGAGAGAGAGTAATCAACATAAAATATTTGAAGCGTCATCCGGAACCCAAGCCAATTTTTCAAAACAAGTCACTGTTAGAGACCAATATTGCCTAGGACCAAATGTATGCGAAGATTCGATTTTTCTTCCAAGAGATGTATGATGTATCCTCAGTTGCGTCCATGTCCCCATTTTTTTAAAATTACCGTGTCCCGTTTCGTGTCCAAGTCCGTGCTTCATAGATTGGCAAATTTAAAAAAATAAAATAAAATGCATATCATAGTTTATTTGGCCCACTTATTTATTTAATTCTTAAATTGGTAAATATTTTTCGAATTAGAACTTTGAAAATTCAAAACCATTTAAATTAGTATAATTATAAATATATTTATTTTTTATATTTAAAATTAAAAAAATTAAACTAAAACTTTAAATCTCAAAAAGGAAATAACATTTTTGTTTATATATATATTGTTTATGTAAAAAATTCAACTGTAAAAATTGAAAAATAAAATTCATGAACATAATTTTTTTGGTCATATACAATCGGATTTCTCATATACACAATCAAATTTCCCATTGTAAAAGGGTAAACTTGTATTTTTAGTTCTTATCCCATCTGATGGGATATGATATAATAGGGGGAGTGGGTATTGTATATCCATCCATTTTGGGGGATATACAATCTAGTTGTATATTATATTCTCCTCCAACAAAAAATTACTAACACAGGATATATGGAGCCTACAGTATATAATCTCCAATCCAACCTTCTATATCCAAGAATCAGATAGGGCCTAAAGTTATATAGCAAGATAAACAAAGCCTTACTTTTTTCTTTGATAATCCAGATAAACAGTGTCTTAAGCATTTAAATTCAAGAAAAAGAACTTTCCTGGATATCAAAATAAATGAATCACTGTATTTTCTTTCTAAATTATCAATCACATCATGTATGTTGTCAAGGAAAAACATTCATAAACATTTAAAGTTGCATTCACTAATTTTAGCTGGGCATAAATAGAAGCACATGTAAAATCATACTTAATATTTGAAGCCTATTTCATCAAGTCTTTATTTATAATGTTTTCAGAAAAAAACAGATTAGTCCTACTCTATGTTACATGGACTCTTCAAAATAAATCAAATACCCGTGTCGGACACCCGACACTCGGACAAGGGTATGGGATATGTGTCGGATACTTTTCAACGGATACTTCTTATATAATTGTATATAACACTATTATTATATGTACATATTGTTGTATAATTGCTATAAATGTCATTTTGACACTATAAGTTAAATATAATACCATTTTATCTCACATATTAGATTAAAAATATAAAAATATGACATTTTTTTGCCGAGTCCGCGTATCCTTAAATTTATGATTTGATGAGTCCGACCTCTAGATACATACCCGCACCCGACACCCGTACCCGAGTCCATGTAACATAGGTCCTACTTTTCACATTTCCTACAATTATAATTTCAATTCAAATATACTCTCTTTGATGTCGTGAACTGATTCATATTTTGTCATTAAATTGCCCTTTTTTAGTGTTTCATATTTTTCACGGCAGCTAATAAGCGTTGTTCAGTGTGGCTGGGGTTGTTAAAAGGAGTTTACTGTGGGACAAAATAAATGGTAGATTGGTATAGATGACGGTAGGAAGGGAAAAAGGGATATGGAACAATGCCAGTGATCTTTGACTCGTACAATATGACATTTTTTTGCCGAGTCCGCGTATCCTTAAATTTATGATTTGATGAGTCCGACCTCTAGATACATACCCGCACCCGACACCCGTACCCGAGTCCATGTAACATAGGTCCTACTTTTCACATTTCCTACAATTATAATTTCAATTCAAATATACTCTCTTTGATGTCGTGAACTGATTCATATTTTGTCATTAAATTGCCCTTTTTTAGTGTTTCATATTTTTCATGGCAGCTAATAAGCGTTGTTCAGTGTGGCTGGGGTTGTTAAAAGGAGTTTACTGTGGGACAAAATAAATGGTAGATTGGTATAGATGACAGTAGGAAGGGAAAAAGGGATATGGAACAATGCCAGTGATCTTTGACTCGTACGTATAGTGATTAATGGCCATGAGAAATGGTAAAATTGGACCGTGAGCAATCCCATCTAGTAGGTATCAGTTATATATGTAACAAACAGCTGATTATCTGATAGTGACGGATAAGAAACAAATATAGAGCTGCATAAACACAGGAAAAACGATGCACCTTGATGTCAGTCAGCTTCAAACTGTGTGTAGCAACAGTAATTTGTCCAGACTTCTCGAAAGCTAAAATATCCTCCTGTGACATTGCTTTGACTGCCTTGGCAACAACAGGCATTGATTTTCCAAGACGTTTGCCTAATACACTAGAAGATAATAGCCCAATGACCCAAAAAAAAGTAAGCAAGAATAGAGAGAAAGCAGAATAACTTGAGCAACAAAAATTACAGTCAATACCTGAACTCCGGCTCGGCACGTAAAGAAGCATACTTCAAAGGATCATTGCATGGGACAATGGATTTTACATTGAGTTCCTCCAACACATACTACAATAAAAAAGAAACAATTAAGAAAACCAGAAATAAAGTAATAAAACATGGCATTCCAAAATACCAACAAAATTAACAAAACAGAGAGCAAATGTCAAAAAGCCCAGGATTTTGGATACTAGATCTACTTGTAGATGCAATACAAAAAAATAAAAATGCAAGGAGGAAGACAAGACAACTAAACCATCAAACAGGAATGAAGTACAATTTTGGGCATTTAAGTAGATTTAACAAGAAGCTAACACACAACAGAATACAGACACATCAAATCACCAAGCTGAAGATAAATTCTCATGCAATGTGACTACAAGGTCTTTTGTTTATATTTTACGAAGTTTTAAACAACCACCAGTCAACCACATTTTCTTATTCTTACTGAAAAAAATATATATAGATGAAAAGCGGGAATCTCGACCCAAGTAACTGAAGAGACATCAAAGATTTTCCTCCAATTTCTCAACATGATAACCAATCGAGACAGATCTCAAATGAAAATAGCCTCACTGTGAAATTTTCCATAGAAAAGAGTCCCATCAAGAGAGTTACAGAACAATCTACAATTTTAGATACATGTAGTCTCATATAATAAAACATAATCCCATCTTTACTATAAATCTTGGAGAACTTATGCACAGACCTCTTTTAGTTTTCCAGCTATATCATCAAGAAACTCTGCATCAGGATGAACTACAACCATCTCCCTGTAGTTCACAGAAAATAATGAAGGAAATAGTTTATATGAGAATAAATCAAACATGAAAGCTAATGCAGAAGCATGTAGTGAAAGCAGAAAATGATGTATGAGACAAGCTATAAGAATTACTTTAGTGGTGATTTCAGAGGTTTGTTGTGACGCTCACGAATATTCCGGGCAAGATCAATGATGGTCATCATCCTTCTGACACTCTGCTCAATACGTTCCCCTCCCTGAATGACAGCAAAAAATTTAGAATAAATCGATTTGTGACAGAAAAGCCAAGGAAGGGAGACAAGTTTCCTAAAAAAATCTACAAAAACTACGAGGCATAACTAATCCACAGAAATGAACAATACCTTCCCTTCTTCCTCAGGAAAACCGCAATAGTGAATGCTTTCCTCTGACCCATCAGAAACTTTGCGCAAGTTTTGGTAAAGAACTTCAGTAAAAAATGGTGTGAATGGGGCCATTGCTTTACAAGAAGTTAAAAGGACCTGGAATAAACAGCCCAGGTTATAAAGTATTTGTACATATAAATTGAAATCGAGGGCACGTAATTAATAGGTGAATATTTGAATACTAATTAGGCATACTGGAATAGGTCATGTACAGTATGAAGTTCCACAAATAAAGCACCCTATGTTAAATATGCACACAAAGCCAAATCTGGGGTCAAGAAGCATAAACTATTCATATTCTCAAAATTCAACAATTAAATTTGGTAGATGAGACATAGTAACTTAATTCTCAAAAGTGATGGGCACCCAAGACCACTATGCTTCGCAGATAAGAGACCTTAGAAAAGACCAATACCAATTGTGCCCGTGTAAACCAATGACTTTATCTGGAGAAAAAGCCTGCAAGCTCAGAATATAAAAAGAAATTAACCACCAAAAAAAGGGGCTTCAAAACACTCAGCAGGATTTTTGTTGATATCAAGAAAGAACAATGAACGCAACCCAAAAAGAAGAAAATCTCCAACTAAACTACTCTTTCTAAAGCCAGATCCTGTAACATTGTGACCAGTGTTGTCATGGAAATCAGTTAACCTCATCTAATGACAAACCAATTCTTGGAGAGGAAGGCAAGGGCATTTGATGTCCAATTTGAGGATTTAAAGAGGATATAGGATAAGATAAGTTATCCATCTTATTTGTGGGCTTCAGTTTGATCCCCTTTTAAGCATTCCACTGTCTTTTTATTAGTAGGAATAGGAGGGTTGTGCGTAACGCATAATTTTTTTTTATGTATCTTTTTGTATTTTTTGGTAGACTTCATGTCCTCCACTTTCTCTTGCCTGTTTACTTTTTCTATTATTAATAAAATTTCTTTGTTGCTATGATATTCTAAGGTTTCACATTTCAAACTAGACAGAACATATTCAAAAGGTTGGGGGGTGGGGGACACCTTACCCCCAAATTTTAAAGCACTTATAACGACTCCAAGACAACAGCACACCACCTTGTGTCATCTCATTTTCAGTTCACTTTAAACAACTTCATTTCATTCAATTCTTAGTACCAAATCAGGGAATAAGAATAACTGTCAAAAACAAATAATTCAATCAATTTACACAAATTTTATATACTGCAAATTCTACAAAACACTATGCAATAAACAAAGTCCAGATACTCTGCTCTAGATAAGCACAGATAACAGACAAGATAATCATGGCTAAATTTAATTCCTAAAAATAAACATGAAATCCGAAAGTAAAAACTGGAACCAAGTCAAGGATGAGATTACAAATTCATTCTAGAATAGTACCATCATATTATGAACAAAAATCTAAACATTACAAGACCAGAGTCACTGCATCATACATGGTACAGAGTTGAAAGTGCAATCCTGCAATCTTCTTCTCCGGTACGACCTTTGAGTCTCTTACGGTTGAACCGCACATAGATATTCGTGAGGTTATCAAGAAAGTTTAATAGATAAGGAACCACCTACAATGAGAGATACAGATCTGGACTAAAACACAAGCTCACAGCAATTATGTTGTCATAAATAAAATAGCTAATGGAAAATACAACCTTAACACTTCTTTTACAATAATATTCATAAACTCATCACGTAATGAGATGGAATGTTACAAGTGCTTATAGAATGCTACTTATCAAACAAATTTAACAAGAATTCATAATTGGATGCACTGGTAGTGTACAAGAGACATGATCAAGACGGCTACATGAAAAAGGATCAACAATAATTGCCAAAAACAAATAAATAAAACGTGTAAAGGTGTGATTACATATGGAGAAATTTCATGTGTAGAAGTGTAAATAAGGCCCACTGTGGAAAGGATAGAGGATTCAGATAAAGCAGTGCACTTGGGTCCAGGGAAGAGTGTAGGGAGAGCTAATATGCTAGAGGGCTGCTCACAACTGGCAGAAAGGTTGGTTGGATCAAACTAGCTGTATCAAAATTTTGTAAACTCTTATACATCTTGCCTGTAAGATGTGCTCTTATAACACAATCACAATATTAATTTATCACACAACTTAAAAAGTAGAAAATGGGATAAGGAAAAACAAATGTTAATACGTATTAAAAGTTATTCACAAATCAAATAATAATAATAATAATGTATCAACGTGGAATGCTATTTTTCTTTAAAAAAAATATAAAAAAACTCATGACCAATTCTGTTACAGTTTCCCACCTTGTCTAAGCCTTGACAACATATCACAGTGGAACCCTATTTTTCTTTAAGCTTTTGCCAGATATGAGTGCTAGGAAGTTAAACTAAGCAAACCTTCACTTTTTCTTAATTTAATAAAATCCACCATAGAGTGCCAAGTAGGAGCAACCCAAGAATTCAACCACCTGGGATAAACCATGGGATTTTTTTTCAGAATTCAAAGACAGGTTTAATGCTAGCTCCCTACCTAATTGCATGCAACCCTTGCCTGCCATCAAACTCTTATGACACCTTTTATTCTGTTGACTTTTTGGTTTTTATATCATTTATTCATTTTTTAGACTTTTTAACTACATTGTATTCACATATTTGCTTTAGTTTCTGTCATGCAATTTCTGAAGCAATAGTTAGTATATTTAACTCTTACCAAGACTAATTTGTACATTCAACAACAAAGAACTTGGCTAACTCAAACATGATCTCTTACTGCACAAGGATATGAAACAAACTCTGAACTGGAGAACCCAAGACTTTCAAAAAGAAATCCAGCAATTCCACAAACCTAATAAAGTATCCTCCATTATCCAGGTCAACCTTAGTCACCTGAAACTTTTACAATCTTCTTTCACTTCTCTTTCTATTCCCTTTCCAATCACAAATTACTAACACGGTTCATTTTTCTTCTATCATGTTCAATTTTTTTACTCTTTTTAATCACCATGAGGTTATTTCTTATTCAATAAAATAAAAGTTGATGCAGTGACTCCTCTTTCTAGAAGTCTTTTTCATCGTATGATATTCTAAGGTTTCACATTTCAAACTAGACAGAACATATTCAAAAGGTTGCTGGTTGTACACATATTAACAAGAAATTAAATAAAAAATTAGTAATTGCAGACTGCAAAGTAATGGTTAACAGATAACTAACTGTATAGAGGCGATATCCATCCATTTCTTGCCGAACAAAATGCACCAAACTCTGAGTGGCAGAGTTGATCCACTGGTCAAGAACATTAGATGACTTCTGAAGAGTGACTTGATCAATAGGAATGAATGGTGCAAGCCCCTCAACCTCAAGTCTCTTTGCGTTCTGAACAAGGAACCTGTAAGCATTGTACCATGGTAAAAATACGTCTTTGATCTGTGTAGGACAAAATACACAAAGTTAGGAGAGGCAACTGGAGATCAATTAAAATACAAGAAAATAATTAAGAACATCAAATATTCAAGATAAGTGAAACATGTTAAAATATGGCATTAACTAGAGTCAACGCAAACAAAAGAAAACACAATACTCACAACACCATAGACTCCATCCTTTTTAAAACGTAAAGGCTCAGCACGCACAACTGGAGAGTTGATAATATATAATCGTAAAGCATCCTGTACAATGAACAAAAATATATTATTTTTAAAAAAATCATGTGTCAACGAAAAAAGAATAATCAAATCGAGTCAGTTGTGTAAGCACCATGGAAAGAAATAAAACTACCGAAGATAAGCAGGGATTCAAATAGATAGTAATAACACTAAACTGGCAATCACTTACAGCCCCATAATCATTTATGACTTCCATTGGTGAAGGATAATTCTTCAGTCTTTTACTCATCTTTTTCCCATCCTCAGCCAAGACAAGTCCATTGCAAATGAGATTCTTAAATGCAGGTTTCCCAAATAGTGCAGTTGATAAGACCATGAGTGTATAGAACCTGCAAGTTGAAAAAGAAATAAATAAATTTCCACTTTTTGTATTTCAAGAAAACTGGAGCCTCTCAGCATAACATTAAAGAGTGAAAAAGGATAACAATCCGGCATAACAAATCAAACTATTCAATCCTTAATAATTACTACATATAAACTAAATCCATAAAACTAGGTTTGAAACATTATGTTACAAGGAAAATAAAATACCACTTGAGAGCATATTTTAACGTTCAAGTGATCTATAAAGGGTTTTGATAACTAACAACTGATGCACCTCAGGCCCACTGCACACAACATAGCATAACAAAATCAAGTCATAAATGGCCTCTTTGAATGCCACGAGGCAAGGCAAAACACATCCCTACACTACAAACACCTACTCCTGCTTTCTGCATTTTTTGAAATTAAAAACAAATAAAACCACGAGTTCCACCCTCAGCGGTACAGGTAAGTCCTTAAACAATAAAAAAACAATAGAGTCAAAATTCCTAATTAAACAAATTGACAAGTTTCCGATATTACGCTGTATTCCTTGTTAGTTAAAAGAAGAAAAAAAACACAAAGTTTCCAATAATCTTCCTGAATGTAAGAAGATAAAGCCATTAAAAAAATCACTAATTAAACTAATTGATCAGTTTCTTAATAAAATCAACAGTAATGTAACATTAAAACCTTGAAATTTTCTATTTATAAGGACCATCCAGCATCTCTATTCCTATTGTTTGGATTTTTTTGAAAAAAAAAAAAAAATTGCTACTCCCTGAGTGGTAAAAAACATAAACCATAGGAGAGTATGTTTGTGTCCGCGTCCATGCTGCTCAGCCGATATTAACTTGGTGGGTTGACTGCAAACTTGAATGACATCAGGAAGAATTTGTGGCATGTTTCTTTGGCTCAAAGCAATCGGCTTAAAAACTGATACGGTGAGATCTTCACATTAGATTCCCCTTTATCAACCTTTCCTTCATTCAACCTTTTTGGTCCTGTTTTTCCCGAGGTTTTAAAAAGAGGCCGTAACCGTTACGTAATGCTGTTACATAACGGTTGTAATGGTTACCACCACCCGTTACAGCCGCTATAGCAATGTGATGGAAATTTACATGTGTAACGGTGAAACGGCCGTTTTGGTATTACATAACAGTCGTCGCGGCACCGTAATGGCCGTAACGGTCCGTTACATACTTTTACAATATTTTGAATAGCTTCCTTTTAAAAATAAAAAATAAAAAAAGCTTACAAGAAAGAACAAATTAGTAATCCAAACCCAAAGAAAAAATCTTATACGAATTTTTTTTCTTTATAATTTTTATTTCATTATATTAGCATAAAATATAAAAAATATATAAACAGTGGTTACATTTATTTTGTTATTGCAATATGTTGTTTAAAAAATGTCTTTAAAAAAATTAATAAAATCAGTAGCTCAAAAAAAATTTTTGTTTATGGCACAATTTTTATTTTTATGGTGCCTAGCAGTAATATCACATGATATTTTGGCATGTTCAGACCCATTAGATTGAGAATAATATTTAGCATTGTTGATTATGTTTTGAATGATTTTTCTCTGACTATTTCTGGCATATTACTGCATAAGATACTGTTTTATATCACAATTGAAATATGCTAAACCTAGGGCTACGTCACAAACAGAATCAACAGTAAATATAGACAAAGATTGATAAGTAACATAAAATTCACTCAAAGATTTCAAGGGGAAGGAACCGACGGACATGAGTATAGTAAATCCAGCTAGGTACAATTGTGGTTGGACTCAACTACCTCACGTACGCTAACCTAAATCTAGTAATCAGCAAGATAAATATTCTAACATAAGCAGGTAGGAAAAGAAAAAGTACACAGATAAAAGACAATAAACTAACCATCCACGAGTTTGATCCAGCCCCTCAGCCACAAAATGCCCAGGGAAGTTGTTCTCAAATAGTTCAACATTCTCAAATGGATAATGGATATAAGCATATGGCATCGACCCACTCTCAAACCAACAATCAAACACCTGAAGACAATAACCACATAATCTGTAATGTCAAGGATAAAAGAAATCATAATATGGAACACACTATAAAGATAATGCACCATAAGTTTTGGGAGATGAAATAAGTGATATTTTCGTTGAAGGAAATATAATCCCAACACTCATAGTGGGTGTTTGGGAAGTGTGTTTTTTTGCAGGTTTTTTTAGTTATAGGATATTATTGGAGAAAAAAAAATTTGTATTTGGGAAGATAGATGGGTTTTTTTGTGATTGGATGTGATGTTTGTGAGAGAAAAAGTGAAATGATTATGGAGTTTGATGTGATATTTTGTTTGGATTAATTTTTTTTGGTTTTGTAACCAATTTGTCTTTTAGTGAAAAAAATAAAAAATAAAAAAAAAACCAAAAAGCTTCCTTCCCAAACAACCCCATACTTATTCTCCATAAATCAATATAAAGACTACATAGCTAAGCACTCATACTTATTCTCCACTCTTTTTATAGTTCACACATTTAACCTGAAAGAGTAAAGAAATATAATCCCAACAAAAAAGAATATATTTAATTTTTTTTCCTTTGTTACCCTACAAGCATTATATCTACTACCAAAAAAATACCATTAAAAGGAAAAAAAACTGAAAATCTACAGCTTTAATGTCTGAATCCTTCACAAAAGTGCAAACACTGAGCCTCTACAACTGAGCAACTCCTTTCAAGTGGAGAGACTTTATGAAGGTCCTTCAAGAAAATCAACAGGCACAAGAAATGTAGCAAGACTTGCAGGCAGCACTCAACAAGTTGATAACAGAACCTAATAGGATTCGTGACATGGTAGGATACACATTAATGATGGGGTTCATTATCGAACTAATGAATGGCATACTCCTGCACCTTTGTTGTCAAATCATGAATCAATTCCTGAATCGTTTTTGCTTAAATAGTGAATCGTAAATAGTAAGATCCACATTATTTGGCGTAATACATAATTTTATATATGAATATACATAAGAAAAAAACATATGTTGTTTAACATGAAATAAGCACCATTATGTGTAACTAGTATATGTATATACAATAAAACTGTGTAGATCAAATATAATTAGCTTCCACTGCATCATTAATTCCTCAAAAATAATGAATCATTAGAGACACATTGGCGCACAAAATAGAATATGAACATGTGCACGTTAATGGATTTAGACAACAATCAAAAGCAATAAACTTCTTCCTAGGTACTGAACATAATTTCAAAAGTACGAAAAAAACAAATACTATAAATCTTAAACTTTATGATGTGGAAAGTAACTAGGAAATTTACATAACAGTTCATAAGCAGCATTGCAGAGTCAGACTGATGTATGAAGGTGCCAAAAAATTAAAACTTAATTAAAAGGCATTAACAGGAACTTATCAATGAGGAAACAGCTTTTAAGCCCTACCTAGTTACAAGAAACACACTGAGATTTATGAAGATGATAGATAATTTAACCTATCCGCAAAAGCTTCTAAAACTTAATAACAATTAAGGGGCTTTAATAGTAAAATAGGATCATGAGAACAGTTTTAATGACCTAGCTTTTCACAACTAAAGATTCCGCATACAGCCAGCAGCTCTGCACTTAAATTCAAGATAAATAGTATTCTAAGAACAACATCGAGCTTAATCGTTTCTGTAAATAGAATGTGAAATCAGGAATGCAAGAACTATACTGCTCAAAACCCAGAAAATGCTCTTACATCCTCTACAAGTCTAAGCACACAAAAAACAAGGGCCATGATGTTATGAAATCATAGCATGATCAATCTTGTGACTATACAATTGAGTGTAAAACTAAAATTATAAAATGAGGAACTTATACTACTCAAAATCCAGATCTAATGCTCTTACATCCTCTACGCGTCGAAGCACACCAAAACTAGGGCCACGGCTGGATGGAATTGTGATATGATCAATCTTGTGGCGATGCAAGTCAGACACCTGTAAATGAGAGAGAGAGAGAGAGAGAGAGAGAGAGAGAGAGAGAGAGGGAGAGAGAGATTAGTAATGCAAACTTAAAACATACATGAATTGCACACTCAAACAGGAGATCACAAAACCAGATAAGTACGAGTAGCAGAACTAATTGAAGAATACATTTTCCAGAAGCAAAAACTCCAAGGTAAAGAGCCAATATCCACTTTCCGAACAAGTCTTAGCACAATACTAAAACAAGTTTTATAATTTAGTCTTGTGTTTATCGACAGAAGACCCCAACACCACTTCAAAGTGACAACTATGACTCAGATAAATCACAAATAAACATAACAAACAACACAAACACACATATATACTCATTTTACTAAGAAATTAAAATAGCATAACCATACCCATTTTACAGCATTTTACAACAGCACTTTCCTCTGTCAGATCCAATGCATCATTGTCACTAACAGAAAATATCACAAAAACAAGTACATACTCATGTTTACACACCTTATCACCTCCTGACCTTTTCAATTCATCACAGTTGCTTTATTTTACTATTTAACTAAATTCAAGAATGCTTAAACACCTAACTGGATTTGTTAACATCCGTGACACTTTTTTCAGCCTTGCTGACCAATGTTTCATTGAATGATCCCATCCACTATAAAAAAAAATTCATGATTTTCACATTTTAGATGCATTCTAATATTACCATAGCTACCAACATTGGTGCAAGTAGTGATGTCAAAGCACAAAACCTATTTAAACACTAAAAGTGTTAACTTAAAATGCATGTGCACGCCTGCGTGCGTGCATCTATTTGCATGCAAGTATATGTAGAAAATGCAGTTTTAGATCTCATGCATAATAGAGAAATAAAATCAACTTTTTTTTTTGTTTTTTTTTAAGAGATAGTCTTGGAGATCTCTAATAACATAGAGAAAGGAACAAAAGTAGATAGTGAATATTATATATCAACCCTAAAGGCCTTTAAAGGTCTATGAGAAACTTGTTTTGGATGTAACGAAAAACAAATGATAAAGAAGACTTAACAATCAATTTCCAATAAATATCAATCTTCTTTTGCAATTACAATATATCATGCTTGTGATGGGGAAGAGGATCAAACCAATAAAAGGAATTTATCAAATCTCAATTGGTAGGTAGGACTCAATCCCTCATCAATTCAACATAGACCACAGTCGAATGATCTACTGCATGGAACACGTAGTTTTCGTGCATCAATGCATTCTACTAGATTGCTGAAATAAGTTGACAAGCTATGCGCTATTTGATGCCTAAAGGTTCCTCGCCCAGTCTGTAGTCTATGAGGATCCCATAACCAGTATTAAAGTTCAAGGTGAAGTTAGTTAATCTTTCACTTCTAAAGGGGAATAGAAGAGCGAGCCCCATCCTAAGAACATTGTATTGTCACTCCAAATCGAGAAACTAAATAGTGTCCTAAAATCTAGCATGGTTAGCAAAAAGACATTCAGAAATTTTAGCAAGAAGGAATGTAACTCATGATATGTATATATCAAAAAATAAAAAACATTGTTCCCATTAATATGACATGCCGGAGACTTCTTGTTTCAGAAAAACTATATCCATTAAGTCTTTAAATGAAAATAGAAAGCAGGCAAAACAGTTCAATAATCAATTTCCAATAAACATTGTATTGAATCTACTTTACGACCTAATATACATAATACTAGTCAACTAGAAAGGGGTTGAAAAGGTAAGGATCAGAGATTAGTTGGGGTGGGTGGGAGAACAAACCTCAACACCAGAAAGCTTTTGAAGTTTATCAACAGAATCCATAACAATCGTTTCCTCGCCATCATCACTAACCCACACAGGAAGAGGTGTACCCCAAAATCTACTTCGACTTACAGCCCAGTCTCTTGCATTTTCTAGCCAATTGTGGAAGCGCTTCTCCTGTAATATGCCATCACAAAATATAAGTACTCAAGTAACAAACAAGAGAGAGAGAGAGAGAGAGGAATAAAATACAATAAAATATTCCAGACAAATTTATTCGGAAAATTCCTAACAATTCTTACCTTTTCATATCAAATTTCCATCAAATCCTATTAGCACACCAATCAACCCTCTTAACATGTTGTTTGGTTTCCTAACTCAAGATTCACTTTTCAAAAAACAAAAATTTTTTGTTTTCCGTATTGTTTTGTTTTTACTGAATTTTTTAAATATTTTAAGCAATTTTTTAAATTTTCTAGATACACCTAACATAAATACACTTAAAAAGTATAATATTTGTGAAAAAAATCTTTAAACAATTCAGTAAATACCAAAAATACAAAAAAAAATACGAAAATTATGTATTTATTAATTTTCTAAAATATTTTTTTACAAATATTTTACTTTTTTGATACATCTAAGTAAGGTATATCTAAAAAAGTAAAAAAAATTACTTAAAATTTTAAAAATATTCACTAGGAAAAAAAAAAAAACTCTCAATTTTTAGAAAATTAAATTCAAAAAATTGAAACCAAACAAGATTCAATGAAAAATTCATGGGAAAGTAGGACTTCTTGACAAACAAACACACACACACACAACTTTGCTATAGAAATAGCAATCAAAGACACCATCAACAAAGAGGAATTATTCAACCTATTTACCATAATGCGGGCCTTCCAAAAGTCTATAATTTCATTTTATAGATGTATAAAACATCATCTGAAGATAAACATCAGATTCACAAAAGTACATCAAGAAATATGAATATTTTGTCATAATCCTTTGTTCTTGAACATGAGAATTAGATGAATCCAACACTCAGACACATACTCGCACCTGATACCCATACCCTATCCCATGAAATATAGGATCCTGTGATAAAAAGACAAAGTAACTGTTAGAATTTACCTACACCTACCACCACCTACTACCACACCTACTACACCTACCACCAATTTACCCTTACCTACTCCTCACCTACTACCCAAACCCTCTCCTATATAATGAGCCATCTACAACGTTATGACACCCCCATACAGTGTCCTCTACAACGTTATGACACCACCATTCAGTGTCTTCACCAATGGTCTGACACGACCATACAGTGTCTCCTATCCTTTTTTATTTTTATGTATTTTCTTGTTTTGTTCCTCTCTTCAAACTCAAGTTGGTTAGTTTCTATCCTCCTTGAGTTTGCGGGGGGCTGGTATAGATTTATACCAATTAAACGCTCCTCCTTTATTAGAATTTAAATATTAATGTGGTATTGTATTTTTCTTTTCTTTTTTTGAAAGTATAAGAATTTCATTAAGAAGAGGCAGCCAGGGGTTGGTAACCCACAAGAAGTGTGGGTTAGAGCTTAGTTGCACGAAGCGGGGCGGAGGCGGGAGCGGGAGGGGGAGCAGGGGAGCGTGAGCCGATAGAAGTTTCTTAGGTTGGGAGCGCCTCGGGGAGCGCTTAGATATATATATATATGTATATTATGTATATATAAAAAAATTAATTCAAAAATTCAGCATGTATTTATTTTTTGGAGTAGCTTTATTTAAATATATTAAATTTGATGACTTACATTGCTACACAAAAATATAATAGAATCCTATTAGAAAATTCATCACTAATACAAAATATCATTAATTCTTAATCATCTACTCAAATAAAAAGACTTGACAATATATAACGTTATTTATTATATGTAAAATTAAAACATATATATTATTTATTTATTTATTTTTAAATTTTATTTATTTACTTTAATATCAAATTTTATTTACAAATTAATTTTTTCTTACAAAAAAAATAATTTATTTTATGTATGTTTAAGTTGAGAAAATAAGAATATTCAAAAAAAATAGAAAAAAAAAATAGAGGAAAGGAAAAAAAAAAGGGTTTTTTTTTGTTAATATATATATATATAATAAGGAATTAGGGACATCAAACGAATAGAACAGAGGAGAGAGAGAGAGAGAGACGACTGCTCAGAAAGAAGAGAGAGACCATCGCGCAGACTCGATGAGTTCAACACAAGCGAGAGAGAGATGATCGCGCAGACTCATGGAGAAAGATGAACAGAAGAAGAAGAAAAATAAAGAACGAAGAAGAATAACAGATTAGGGCTTCAACAGGTTCTTCTTCACCCTTTCTCTTTCTATTTCTCTCTCTCTGTCTATCTCTCTCTCTATATATATTCAATTAGTTAGGGTTTTTATCTCTCTATATTCGAGTTAGGGTTTCTCCCTGCGTATTCAGTGAGTTAGGGTGTATCTCTCTGTTTTGCTTTTCTTTTCCACCAACGATCCCATCTTGGACAGGATCACATTTCTCTCTCTACAGAAACGCGATTCTTACACGTTTCTTTCTAAGAAACGCGGAATCGCGCTTCTTACAAAGATTCGTCACCTGGTTGCACGAATCCTGCAACTAAGGGTTCGAGTCATAGCATTACTAGCTCATTTTTGGGATGATAAAGGCTCCGTTTGATAAGCCTCTCAAATTATAGTTTCACCCTTTGATTTGAGTGTGGTGTTTGTTTTGAGCTTTCAAATCATAATTCAACGCCCATTTCTCAAAACTCAATTCAAAACATAAACATTACTTTTCAAAACTCATAACCAAACACATAATTCAAAACTCAATTCAAATCAATATTTTAATTTTTTAAATATTTTAAAAATATTTTAATTTTGTTAAGATTTTTAATATTTAAATATGTTACGATTTTTTTAATATTTTAATTTTTTGAATATTTTTAAATATTACGATTTTAATTTTTTTAATTTTAAATATTTTATAAAAATAAATTCAAACTCTATTTTATAAAAATATTTTTAAATATTTTAATTTTTTTGTTATGTATTTAGTTACGATTTGAGTGTAGAATTGTGAAAATAGTATGGAGTTTCGAGTTATGTGTTTGATTATGAGTTTTAAAAATAATTTCTTAATTGAGTTTTGTTTTATGTGTTTGGTTACGATTTGAGTGTAGAGTTGTTTTTAAATTTAAAATATTAAAATTTAAAATTATTTAAATTTTTTGAATATTTAAATTATTTAAATTTTTACTTATTAAATTTTTTGAATATTTATTTTAATTTTTTACTTATTAAATTTTTTAGATTATTTAAATATTTATGATTTAAATTTTTTGAATATTTATTTTGAAAAAAAATTATTTCCTTTGTAATATTTTCAATTAAAAAATTGATTAATATTATTTTTTGTTTATAATAAATTTTTTTAATTGAATTTTAAAAAGAGTTTGGTTATGAGTGTTGATCAGAATTTTCAATGGAGTGAAAGTAGTGTGTTTTGTAATGAATTATAACAATTTGAATTAAGTTTTGAAAATTCTTTCCAAAACTCATAACCCAACAAATTTTCTTACTTCACATGCCAAATCAAACTTTCAAAACTTAATTTCACACTCAATTCAAAACTCAATTCAACACTTTATTTAAAAATCATAACCAAACAAATTTTCTACACTCAAATCATAATTTCAAAACACACAAACTCAAAATACAACTCATATTCTCAAATCATAGTTAGAAAGTTTTACCAAATGGAACCAAAGTTTTCCATGCAATGGGGGATGTGGTTTTTTAGGGGTGGAAGAAGACTTTGCTCAACATAAACACTTTAAATGGGCTCATCTGAAGGTTAAACGGGATGGGGGGAAATCCCTACATCAAGTAGGATTGGATGGGATGGCCAAAAGGTTTGAATAAAATATTCCTATATACAACATAATAAATATATAAAGATACATTTTGCATGTGTCCCCCACGTGTCATGTCCTATATTCTTTAAAATTGTCATGTTAGCGTGTTAATATTGTGCCATGTGCACGTGTCCTCGCTTCTTAGCTTTGTCCATTAAGGTAGAAGGAATTGAGGGAGAACCAATTAAGGAAATGCACAAATTGAAGTTCTAAGCATGACGTCACAGTGTCAGTTCCTTTTGAAAATCAACTGCATAAAGATGTGCAATTTGAATGTTCTTATGAAAGTTAACTCCATACAACAACCATATTCTTTGTAATTCTAGAAATATACTGTAGGAACCTGCATCCTACATATTAGGCACCGATCTAAATATTCTTTACAAGGTTCTAACATTTCTTCAACAGTACAAAACAATAATTTAAGCACTAGATAAAAAATTAATGAGATTTAAAAAATATATCAAACCTTCACAAAATCAGGAACCCAGTAAGTTTGTTTATTGTTTTCTAGCAATTGATCTTTCAGCCTCTCCACTGCAACAAACCTAAACATATATGATAAAGATTCAGCTCAATAAGATAACCCATAAAATAAAGAAAGAATGAAAAGATAAGAAAAATGACAAGACTCCACATTTGATGAGTACCAGTTTCTAAATTAAGTCGGATAAAATAATTCTAATTGGTCACAACTTGGAAATGCATTTTACAAGCTACTTTTGTCGATCGCAACCTTTATCTCACAATATCTTAATCAATCAAGAATCATATAGTTGGGTTCATCAAATAAAAAGTTACCAAATCAAGATAATGTTAACATGAGAGATTAAATCAGTTATAAAGAGCATAAGGAAGAGATTTCCCAGTCTCTATTGTGCATAGTTTCCAAATGTGATCATGCATTCAAGCTGACTATTGGATCACAAGCAACAACATGCCTCATATGGCATAAATTTGAGTTATAGAGTTTCTTTTAGTGGAGGAGGACAAGTTAGTTGTCTTACTTTTATTAGATAGCATCAAAAGATCATTTTAAAAGTAAACAATAAAACAATAACCAAACCAAGGGGATACAACATACTGCCATTCTCAACTAAAGCCTAATTCAAAAATCATATCCAACTAAAAAGATGACACAGCATTCAGTTTTACTAAACACGATAATAGTTGCTAACGAGTGGCTCCAATATAAGAAGTCTCCAAAATCACTAGTTCACGCATTCTTAAAATCCAAAATTATCTTCAGCCTCTAGACCCCAATATGAACTGAGGAAACCCATGGTCCAAACTATGATTGCAATTATATAATCATTCTCTATAAGTACATCTTTCCAGACAAGAACACAACTACACCACGACAAACATTAAAAGTTTCACATGAAAGGATTAAAAAAAAAATAATAAGAAACAAAAAACGCAATTAGCACCAAAGGCCAAACAACTACTGAGGTTAAAACAAGTACATAAAAGACAAAGGAAAAAAAAATGTTCAATGCTGTGAGCTTACCAGCTTGGAACTGCTCTGTAGATAAGAGGGGTATCAGATCTCCAACAAAAAGGATAACTATGTGTCAAGCTTCCAATCTTTACAAGCCGGCCATTATCCTGCAGAACAACCAAAAGAAAGGGGCAGAATGTAATAATATATCAAGCATAATAACAAAATTCTGAGAAGAAAAGTACAGCAAGTTTGGCACAAGGAACACGTGCCAACAGTGACATCTAGCAGTCCTGGAAGAATTCAGTTAAAAAACAAAACGTGTCATCACGAAAGAATCAAGTTAAAAGGATTCGCATCATTTATTGTTAAATCCTTTCCAAGTAAAACTGCTCCTAATTAGTTATTCAAACACTTGTATAGAGAATCTCTTCATGTAACAACAATTATCAAAGCATTTTCTGTACTCTTATCCAATATAATAACTAAAACATCAGAATCATTCTTGCCTTCACTGCCTGAATAATATCCTTGTCTGCATCCTTGATATAACGACCGCTAAAGTCAGTAATTCTCTCGGTAAAGCAGCCATCATCATCAACTGCTACAATTAGACTCTCCCCCTAACACATGCCAACCAACAACAAATTCAAAGAATAATCATACCAAAAAAAAAAACAATCAACAAAGTCAGCACACAGATGAAACCAATCGTACAAATGCAGCTGCCAAACATCAGGGGATGAAATTACACATAAAAAGCATTTTTAGAAACATCCTTAAAGTAATACAAATAATGTGTGCAAGAACAAACAAACCTATGTTACCTAGAACATGGATCATTCCAGTACACGAAACACGAACTAGATCGCGTTACATAAAATGCTCTAAATTGTGATACGATAGGGGTAGACTTGTATAGTTTACACTAAGAATTTGAGGTAGCTCTAGTCTAGAGTAATTTTTTAAAACAATTAGACATCCTTCAAAATGTGGTTCTTTTTCCAAATTAATCCTGTAGCAACACATTTCTATGAGCATTTGAACCATTTTTTGACGTTTTCCCATGTCAAAACTACATTCACCTTAAATTTTAGTTCATTATATTTGATAAAAGAAAATATCTTGGAAAAAAAACTATTGGGATAGCTTTGGATCGCTGAAATTACTGTTTTGGAACGAAGTGTACTATATTTCACAACATGTTCCAAAACGTAATTGCTAGGTTATCAGAATTTTTCGGTAACACTGAAACAAAAATAACAAGAGCAGCATCCCGGTGAAATTCAAGCACGACAAAAATTAGCAGATACCCCATCATTAATGTAACAACAAAAGCAATAAATGGATTCATCACCCATGAGACCAACATTTTAATAAATTGTTCTTTGTTGCCAATCAAAATAATGAAATACAGATATACAACATAACAAACAATGAATAAACTAGAAGAAAAACTTAAGTATAGAAGTGCAGCAACTCTTGCAGACCTTAATAATTATTTGGTTTTCAGTACAAACACGATAATCATCTTCACCAAATGCAGGAGCCATGTGAACAACTCCAGTTCCACTGTCAGAAGTTACAAAATCATCTGCAAGAACTCTAAATGCCACATCGGAGAAGTCCATGAAGTAATCAAACAACGGCACATACCTGTAATGCATAACTCCCTTAAATCATATATGGTAAAATATATTAAATCATAAATGATGAAAAAAAGTCAGAAAATAAAATAACAGTTGATCTCTAATCATGCATTCATAGTCTCTCTTAATTACAATACTCCAAATCATATATGGTGAAATAAGAAGTTAAAGCATAAACTACAGTTCATCTATCTTGTAACATGTGAATTCATTCCCAGGCCTTGTACACACAGCCCTTTACAGCATGGGAGCTGGCCACACCCTCATATGTTACCTTAACCACAGCCCTCCTTCCCTGGCAACTGTACACAAACCTGGGACCAAAACAAGAAATAGAGGAACAGGGTCTTTCTCGCTTTTATGCTGTGTTTGGTTGTTGTATTTGGAGAGGGATTTAGAAAGAGAAAGGGAAAAGGTGTGTGAAACTAGGTGAAATGTAGGTATATTTTATTCACATTTCACCTATCTTTTTTATTTCCTTTTCCAAATCTCTCCTCAAATCCCCCCAACCAAACACAGCGTTAGCATTCCAGTCCCCAAGTGAGAGGCTCGCACAACGGGCCATTCTCTCAAGGCCGGAGAACACACTACATATGTTGTGCCTGGGCTATGAGAGCTCTTAGCCACATGGATAGTTCAATGTGCTCATCACCTTGACCCTGAGATGTTTACAGCACATTAGCATAGTTTATTCCAATTCAAACCAGGGTTTCAAACAAACCCTCAAGGGGATAGATGAATCGATTCAAGTGAGATCCAATGTAGGTCCAACCTTCAATCCACTTGTAGGAATCTATCCAGGGTAGCACCACAATTCCTTTCTTCTATAGAATCCAGACACACAATTCCTCTCCAAGGCCCAAGTTCAGGCCAGCACTGCTATTTCTAGATCTTTTGGTCTTAATCTTCTCAGGCTAGGGTTTGCTTTCAATGAGTCTTTGACTCACAAGGTCCTGGTTAAGCTTGCCCAGAGCTGCAAACTTGTTCCGCTAATAGCCATCTCAATTGGGGTCACTCATTTCATAACCTCAAGCGACCCCAAGATGGCCATGGACATTATCAACTTAGAAGGATATTTGCAAGGGTTGCAATTGAACAAATTTGAGGAATTGTCGAGGGTGTTGGGAATACTTATTGAAGCTTTTGAACTTCTTGTTGACTCTTGCGGGTCTAGTCATGGTAGCGTATTAGTATAGGCTCTACTTGTTTGTGGAGTACAAAAATTACTTATCTGGTGATTCAACTCCCAGGATCTACTTGTTTGTGGAGTACAAAAATTACTCATCTGGTGATTCAACTCCCATCTCAACCACAAACGACAATATGATACAGCTTGGTCGCCCACTGCTCCTGGTATTTGGTTTGCAAATATTGGGTGTTTACAGCTTATGGGAATCTTTTTTTTTTTTTTATTCTTTTCTTGGTGATGCTGTCTATATGGATCCCATGAAGGATATTTTCTTTTTCTTTTCTCTTTCTTTTGTTAATTGTAATGTTTCCATTACTATCAATAAAACCTTTTCTACCTAGCCAAAAATAAATAAAAAAACAACAAGGGGGTAAAGGTGGACTGCCCAAAAAAATGGTTGTGGGAATGGATTCTTTAAGATAGAAGAAGCCAAAAGGGTATTGAGGTCATTTTACATTTTTAATTAACAGCATTAGGATTGCACTTTAGTCCCAAAAAAACCCACGTGGGAGCAAACAGCTATTTCTAAATGACAGGGGGTAAAGTGTTCAAGGCCCAAACCAGTAGACGGTAAAGCAGATTTTGCCCTCTAAATTAAATTTGAACTTTAAGTCACAAGCCTCCTCCCCATTAACCAAGATTTCATTACCCCAAATAGGCCCATTAAAAGAGCAGCCCCATCTTTAACCAACTCACCTAATTGAATGACATTGATTGCTACATCCTTATTCTTCCTCCTCACCCATCTTTTTTCACATATGCCTATCCCTTCTTTCCCATCATCTTCAACCTAGTGGTGGTGGTAGCACAAAAATTGCACAGTAACCTGACTAAACTCAAGTTTCGACCACCACCTCTGTCCTCATTCAACCTCACCAAAGCCCTTATACATACCTCAATGGCTGCCCTATCAACACAATGGAGATATTTGTTGGCAAGAAACATGTTGGATAACCTTCAACCTTAATTCTGGCCTCAAAAATATTGGACAACTCTTTAGTTATTTGGTCAATCTCTATCAGTCCTCTACAAGATATTCTCTTATCTTTAAAAATGCCACTTCCACAAACGGAATGGTAAGTTGACCACCGCTATCAACCCCCAAAAGACACAATTACTTCATTTTGCTAATAATCTTCTCGATTCCATTTTTGGAGCCAAACCATGAACAGCCATAACTACAAAATTCATCAGCCGTTTCCTTACTATTACAAAACATTAAAGTTTTAGAAACCTGAAATGGTTGATAAGAGAGGTTTCGCATTCTAGAAACTGCCTCCTAAATCGGGAGACTGGGAATAATGAAATTCTCTTTGATATAGACAAAACTGCAACCCCAACTATTCTGCTAGTCATCGGGGAGGGACACTGTTTGTCAAATTAAACATTACATTCTTACACCAAAAGATAAGGGTAGGACACTTGTGACAAATTGGAAGCACTGACAAAGTTTATGACAGAACAAAAAATAAAAAATAAATAAAGGAAGATGTGAATGAACATTAGTTATTTGGATGTAGTAAACAAACCAACAATGACATCTCTTTTTCTTTCGATAAATAATAATGACAATTCATATTAACTAAGAACGCATACTGAAAATACTTACTTTGTTCCCACAAGTGAAGCCCCTGAAAATTTATCCAACACCTCATATGTATCCACCACATTCTTACTTTTTCCACCAGAGGATCCCTTGGTCTTAGAGTTTGAATTTTCAGATTCATTGACAGATCCATTAGAAATGTTCTTTTTTGGTTTCTCAACAGGAAGCTCCGATAGTCGAGACTCAGCAACCACATAAATTTTCCCATTGAACTTGTTGCGAACCTGATTGTTGTTTCGACACGAAGTTAATTTTCATGTGACATAACCTGAACTAAAATCAAGCTTATATTCCGATACAAAGGTGTAGAATCAATCTACCAACACTCACATGCTATAACAGGATAAAAGTGTTAGATGGTTTATGATTCTTTAGTCTTTGTCATAGAATAGGAGCAAATTTCCAACTATGAAACAAAAAGCTCTGTTTGGTTTTAGAAGAAAAAAAAAAAAAAAGAATCCTCTTTCTGATTTTTTAAGCCAAAAACATTTCAACTGTTTGGTTTCAGCTTATTTAGCTGAGAATATGGGGGAAAAGAAGAATTTTTTTGTTTTAACTAGATCCACCCTGTTTGGCAAGAGCTAAAAAAGTCACATTTTTTCTGAACTTTTTATATCTGTATTAAAATTTTGTAAATTTTTATTAAAATTTGTTACTTTTTAGTGAAGAAGCTCACTTTACAAAAAAAAAAAAAAAAAAAAAAAAAAAAAAAAAAAACCCAAATAAACTTTCCCAATAACAAAAGCCAACTTTTTTAGCATTTGCCAAGCGCATCAGCTTTCTAGCAATAACTTCATCCTGAAAAGGCCAAAAAGCATTTGCCAAACCAGCACAAAGTTTCGTGCCTTGGAGTAAGACAAAAGCGCGAACACACAGACCTTGCAAATTTCCACAACTTGACATGGATAAGCATCCCAAAAAAACTTAAATCTCAGCTCAAGCAAAGACCGAAGATATGACCACCAGACACCTTACAAAATACCTCCAGATGCCTTAGAACGCAATAAATACCTAAACTACAAACAGGCTTTCATTCATTAGCTACAAAAGGGTTTCCAATCAGTTCTACAATATATGCCTTTGACAAGTATACCAGTATATGTACCAAAAAAAGAGACAAATGTACTAGAATAATAGTATTAGATGAGATCAATTTAAAGTAGCAACACATGGTGGAATGACATACAGAAATAGTAAATTCTGGATTCATCAAACTTGGCCAAATAGCATTAACTAACCTTTACATAGACAAAGTTTGCATTGACACAAAGGCCAAGATTACTGGGAAGGGTCCAAGGCGTTGTCGTCCATGCCACAAAAGCCGCACCTTGTGGATCACCAACTATTGGGAAAGACACCATGATTTCAGGGTCAGGAACTTCCTGTTCAGAAAGTGTAAAAAATAAGGGGAAAACTCATAAATTGAAATTAGAAAAATAAATAAATGAAAATATTCTTAAATCATTATAATCAGAATAACAATGACAAACAAAGCAAAAGCGGGACAGTTCAAGCTTTCCATTCAATTAGCCATCCGGGCACTCAGCCAATGACATCAAAAACAAAATTACAATTTAAAAAAAAAAATGCCAAAATAAAATTTTAAAAAAAAAAATCATTTAAAAATCTAACACATCCATTGTAAAACAGAAAATGTGATCAGAGACTTCTAACAAAGTTTTGAGGAAAAATTGTGAGTGCTCTCAATTAGTTTTAGAACCATCGGTAGAACCACCTAGAGCAACCACCAGTTGTACCACCAGAAGCACCAGCACTGATGACAAGAACAGCAACAAATAGCACCAACACAAAATACAATTATTTGTTACCATCATAATAGTAACACTAGCACTTGAACAAGCCACCGAGAAGAGGAGTTCTGATTTAAACCTTATAGTTGGAATTGGCTTCAAAATTAGACAGTGGAGTTTTGCAACCAGTGCTATATGGCATAACCTGCAAAAAATAACATCACAACAACTCCAAATTCAACCCATTACACAATAAAACTATCATCAATACAATTCACTTCCCAAAAATCTCCCAATACAATTCAAACCAAAACCCAATTGCTTATTGCCGGAATTTCTAAAGATTAAATCAACATTAATAATTATACAGACAAACCTTGAAGCCTCTATAGACAAAAACCATTTCAAATATCTGAGAGAAAAACCAAAATCTTCCAATACCCAATGTAGAATTAAACTATATATAACAAAACCCCCTAAAACCAAAACGCAATTACATATTGCCGAATTTTCAAAAGATTAATTCAACATTAATAAATATACAGACAAACCTTGAAACCTCTATAGACAAGGTCCTTTTCAAAGAGCTGAGAGAAAACCCACCACACAGTCTCCATAAACTTCAAGTCCATAGTCTTATAATCATTACGGAAATCAATCCACCGACCCGTCCTCGTCACAATCGTTTCCCACTCCTCCACATACCTGGTCACAATACTTCGACACTCTTCATTGTAATTCCCAATCCCCATCTTCAACACATCGTCTCTAGTCTTAATCCCCAACTTCTTATCAATCTCGAACTCCACAGGCAATCCATGGCAGTCCCAACCGAACCGTCGAGTGACGTGGTGGCCACGCATGGTCTGGTACCTAGTCACGATGTCTTTGATCGTACCAGCGAGAATGTGGCCGTAATGAGGAAGACCAGTAGCGAATGGAGGACCGTCGTAGAAGATGTACTCTGGGAAGTCTTTGGTGCGGTCGAGCTGGGTTTCGAAGGCGTGGATTTCGGTCCACCATTGGAGGATCTTCTCTTCTTGGTATGAGAAGGAGAAGTCTTTGCCTTCGCAGACGTCGTCCATGGTTGGTTGATTGTGGCCGGAGAGAGGGGGCCTAGGGTTTAACGAGGAAAGAGATGGAGAGAGACTGGGACAGGGAAGTGTTTAGGAAAGAATCAGAAACCCTACTAGACAATACAGTGAAAAAAATTAGAGAATAAAGTCCAAAACTACAAAAAAAAAATCCGAAACTAAAATGTACGCAATTCTATGGGTCGGTGAAGTTCCAACCCAACAAAAATAAGGATTGCTTTGGAATATTGCTTTGGAATGTTTTAAATAAGTGAATTTTTTAATTTTTTATAAAATATATATGTAAAAAAATAGGAAAAATAAATTAAAAAAATATTAAAAAAAATGTTGATAGATGTTGATTAATTTTTTGAAATTAATTTTTTTTTTTTTTAGTGAATATTTTTAAATTTTAAATTTATTTTTATTTTTTTATGTACCTTACTTAAATGTATTTAAATAGTAAAATATTTGTGAAAACAATATTTTAAAAAATTAATAAATATACGAAAATATACTGAATATTTGTATGTTTTATATTTAGCCAATTTTTTTAAAAAAAAAAATCACAAATATAATATTTTTTAAGTATATTTATGTTAAGTTTAAAAATTTTTAAAAATATTAAAAATATTTAAAAAAATCATTAAAAATAAATATATATATAAATGTACAATTTTTTGAAAAGTAAATTTTGAAAATGGAAAGCCAACAAAGTGAATGTTGCTTATAAATTTTTTTTTATGTATATTTTTTTATATTTTTATTCATTTTAATTTACTTTTAGAATTAATATAGTATGCCTATCTTCCTTTTTAGGACTCCGCATCTTTTATTTTTTAAATTTTAATTTTATGCAAATATAAAATTTCATTTTTATCCTTATTATTAAGGTTTTAATCTTAATTTTTTAAACCCTAATCTTGAATCCACCAACTATCTCCTATCACTCTAACATCGGCAATCGCCTCCCATTTCAACCAGCAACCTCGGTTGCCATCACCAACATCATCTATAGCCACTAACACATTCACCTTTACTCACCAACCATCAACAACAGCACCACCCTCACCAATATTAGACTCTCTTTTCCTATTTCAATATATTAATCTATCATCATATTGTAATCACGATCACAAAAAATCAGTGATTGTAGCAAATCTACTCTTATTGCACTATTGTCACGACTGTAGTGTTACCTGCGATTTCCCCATATTTCGTTTGGTAGTTCAAGGCCGAATCACCATCATTTGTTCAATGGTCTATAACTGAACTATCACCGTTTGTTTGGTGGTTTATATCCAATCTTCCATCGTTTTATTTGGTATTGGTTTTTCGAACCAAGCAAGATAATTTCAAATGAAGAAAAATTGAACATGAGCATGTATGACAAGACACTAGGGTAGTTGTATGGGTGGCAATGATGACAAATGATTGAGATTAGTAAAATCAGAGATTTTGGCTTCGTTTGGCAAGGGTTTTTGTGGCTATTTTAGTCACAAAAGACAAAATAGGCTATTTTAGTCACAACAAACAAAACATCACATCTAACTCATAATCATTACATTATTCTCTCACAAAAAAAGTAAAAAAAAAAACAAAAAAAACAAAAAACTCTTCCCAAACCAAACTTTTTAGCCCAGGCTAAAATAATCAAAAAGTCACAAAGCCAACCCACTTTCCAAACGGAGGCATTTGGTGAAAAAAACGAGATGGAGGATCGCTTGTGGAAGAAGGGAAAGGAAGATAAAGCTAAGAAGGTCGGTCATCAAAAAAGAAAAGTCACTGGTGAAAGCAGGCTGAAGGAAGGTCTCTAGTGGAAGCTATGGCAAGGTTGCCAGCGAGGGTAATGGGTTGCTAGAGGTGGGGGGAGATTGACAATTGAAAAGTGTTAGGACGAGAGTTTAAAGAGTATATTTGAGATTAGGGAATGGGTCTAAGGAAAAATAAGAAATGAAGTAATTTGGGTGGTAGAGGTTCAAAGAAGCAGGTGATTCTAAAAAGAAAGGCATTTAGCAATTCCCCTAGAATCATCTCATTTAAAAGGTACTTAAAAAGGTAATATATTTGCAAAAATAAAAAACAAAATCATTAAAAATTACATCTCGTATGCTTTTATATTTAGAGTGAGTTTGGCAACAAGCCAAATGAGTTGCTTAATTGATTTATTTTTATCACACCAGCTACCTGTTTTTATACACATATATTTTGTAAATAGCCAAAAAAACAAGTTATACCCAAACTCATTCTTAGTACTTGTTTTTTTTTTCCTCTTAATAAACATTTTTTTATTGTTAAATTTATCTAGATTAAGTGCACATAAAAAACACATTTAGATTACGTGCATCTAAAAAATAAAAATAAAAAATTGACTAAATTATTTTTAAAAATACTAAAAACAACAAAATACAAAAAATAAAAATTTCAAAACTCAAAAATTTAAGAAATTATTTTTGAAAATTCAAAATCAAATTCCAATTTCAAATGTAAGCATCCAAGTCCTTGATGCCAATTGCATGACTAGTGCATCGGATTTGAACTCTTTGATCACAAAGTGCTATTTTGAAAGGGTATTTTTTAAACTTATTTTAGGTCGTATTATTTTTAAAAAATTTTATACAATTTTTTTTTTTATAAAAAAAATCACATTTTCTTAAAATATGACAAAATATGCATTCGTTGGAATGTGTGCATGCTAAGTAAAGCATACCTTTGTGTTATTTTGTTTGACTTGCATATCACCGAGTTTTCAAAGATTAATTTAACATGAATTACTAATAGATATACAGACAAACCTTGAAACTTCTATAGACAAGGCCCTTTTCAATGAGCTGAGAGAAAACCCACCACACGGTCTCCATAAACTTCAAGTCCATAGTCTTATAATCATTCCGGAAATCAATCCACCGACCCGTCCTCGTCACAATCGTTTCCCACTCCTTCACATACCTGGTCACAACATTTCGACACTCTTCATTGTAATTCCCAATCCCCATCTTCAACACATCGTCTCTAGTCTTAATCCCCAACGTCTTATCAATCTCGAACTCCACAGGCAATCCATGGCAGTCCCAACCGAACCGTCGAGTCACGTGGTGGCCACGCATGGTCTGGTACCGAGTCACGATGTCTTTGATCGTGCCAGCGAGAATGTGGCCGTAGTGAGGAAGACCAGTAGCGAATGGAGGACCGTCGTAGAAGATGTACTCTGGGAGGTCTTTGGTGCGGTCGAGCTGGGTTTCGAAGGCATGGATTTCGGTCCACCATTGAAGGATCTTCTCTTCTTGGTTTGAGAAGGAGAAGTCCTTGCTTTCGCAGACGTCTTCCATGGATTGTGATTGTTTGGCTGGAGAGATTGCAGAGAGAGACAGAGACTGGGTTTAACTAGAGAAAGTTGAAAACTAAAATCTAAAGAGATGGACGATACAGGGAAAAAAATTAGAGAATAAAGTTGAAAACTAAAATCTACGCTATTATTGCCATATGGTAAAATTAGATTTTTTGTGAACTCTACGCTATTGCTCTAAGTCTGACGAAATTATAGATTATTTCTCGGAGTATATCTATATTCTTAATCAATTATTATTTATTATATTCTTTCATATTTCTTAAATATTTAATATAATATCTTAACTATTCATATTTTGTACTAATTATAATATTATAAAATATTACATATTTATATTTTAAAATTACTAAATAATTAACCATAAGTCCGTGAGATTCCAACCTTAAAAATAATGGCCTATTTTGGGAATAAGGATCAAAGTTGCTTATGACTTATTCTCTCAAAAAAAAAAAAAAAAAAAGATATAAGATGCTTTTTGATTTTTTTCTAAAAAATTAAAAGTAAGTTTATTGAGTAAAAAATCATTTGAGAAGTTAGAAATAAGTTAACTTTCAAAATTATCAAAATACCTTCGTGTGATGTGACAGTAAGGCCTATCCTGATAAGTAGGTCAAAATTTGATTTTATAACTTTTTGAAAAAATTTATAAAAAATATAGAGATGATGTAACTTTAAAAAAAAAATCAACAAATTGACTTTTAACCTAAAATACCCTTTTGTGATAGTAAAATTATAATTTCACAAAATTTCATGGGATAATATAGTCAATTCAGCCCCGGTTTGCTTTTCATCCTAAGCTAAAAAATCACAAAAGACCAAAAAAAAGTCAAAAAATGACAAAAAAAACTTTGCCATTCTAAAGTCAAAAAAACCAAACAAGCAAAAAAATCTTAAGCTAAAAGAGTCAAAAAAAACTAACTAAAAAAATCATTACCAAACGACAACATACCTATTTGCCTAGTGATGTGACATCATAAACAAATAATATTGAAAAAAACAAAAACATATTTTTTTTTCCATCTTGCCAAATAATCTTGTAAATAAACCAAAAAGCTTTGATATAAGCCAAAAAGTAACTTATATCCAAATTTTTAAAATAGGCCAAATTAAAAACAAGTCGGTTATAAGTCAAATATGAATTTTGTTTACAATTTTTTTTTATGTATATTTTTTTATATTTTTGTTAATTTTTATTTTACTTCTAGAATTGGGACATTGTTATTTACCCCTACATTTTTTCTTAAGACCCCCACATCTTATATATTTTTTTTTAATTCTAATTTTGTCCAAACATAAAATTTTATTTTTATCCCCATTCTTAACTTTTTAACCCTAATTTTCCAAACTCGTAGCCCTAAACCCACCAACCATCCCCATTACCTCAATACTGGTCACCGCCCTCATTTCAACCAGCAACCTCCACTGCTATCACCAATATCACCTCTAGCAATTAACACATGCACTCTTACTCACCAACCAGCAGCAACACCACCACTCACACCAATCTTAGACCCTTTTTCTTTATTTCTATTTATTTATCTCTCGCCAGATCACAATCCCAATTATAGAAAATCAATAATGGTAGCAAATCCACTCTCCTCATATGATCATCATGACTGTAAAGTTGGTTGCAATTTTCTCAGATTTCATTTAGTAGTTCACAACCGAACCACCACCATTTGTTTAGTGGTCTAAAATCAAACTACCACCATTTGTTCAATACTAGTTTTCCAAACCAAATGAAACGATTTCAAATGAAGAAAAATCGAACACGAGCATATTAATGGAATGAGATATTTGGATGAATGA